ACTCAGTACTCTTACTGTCTCAAGAAAAGTTTTCATACTTAAAGACTTATTCCCCCCATTAAAGTTCAATTTGACTAAAAGAATCATATTTCCATTATAATACATTTATAAGAAAAGCATCATAAACAAGTTTTTTTACCAGAGCATCATAAACAAATTAAGTATGTCAGATCTAGTTAAACTGACAAATAAAGTTTTTTAATGTATAGCTAAAATTGACAATCTCCAGTAGTTGTACCTTCACTAATTTTTGAAGTATCATCAACGTGTTCTATATTTCTTCAGACCAGACACTCTTGATCCAGCATTGTTGCGTCCTGGGCGGTTAGATCGCAAAGTTGAGTTTGGATTGCCTGATCTGGAAAGTAGGGCACAGATTTTCAAGATCCATACGAGAACGATGAACTGTGAAAGGGACATCCGTTTTGAACTCCTAGCTCGTCTTTGTCCCAACTCTACTGGTAAGGCCTTCTTGTTCTATACTGCTGCCAATTACTAATTTCTCTTTTAGCTGGCCTTAATCATTGGTTATATGTTTGATTATGGGTTTAGGGGCTGACATACGGAGTGTGTGCACGGAGGCGGGGATGTATGCAATCAGAGCAAGGAGAAAGACAGTGACAGAGAAGGACTTTCTAGATGCTGTCAACAAAGTCATCAAGGGGTATCAGAAATTTAGTGCCACTCCTAAGTACATGGTCTACAATTGATTCATTCCTAAGCCAGTGCCCAGTGGTGGTGTTGGCGGTGAGGACGCGGGGTATGGGTAAGGTCACCTGAAAAAGAGTCAAAACCATACCGTGTGCCCAATGCACGGCGTTATTAGTGATCTCAGAACTTGGAACTTTGTTCATGTTGTTGACCTTATAGGCTATAGTTATCCACCCAGACGTTTGTTAGTGAGATTCTGTTCTCATAGCTTGCAACTGTATCAGTCCTCATCTCTTATTCTCTCATGCCGTAGACGTTGACTGCAGTTTTCAATTCTGAAGCTTCCGAAATTTCATTTAATGGTCGTTTTGTATTATGGCTTGAACAAGTGTGTTGCCAATTTAAAAAAATTACTCCCTCCGTCCCATTGGACTTTGCCAACTTTCCCTTTTTGGTTATCCTAAAAAACTTTCCCACATTCCTATTAAGGCAACTAATTTGTGGTTCTGCACATTTCTCTTTTCCTCTGCACAAATTTTAACTACACAGTTTTTACTATTCTTATTTCTTACCTACTTTGCACTTGGCAAAGTTTGCTGGGACGGAGGTAGTATGATTTTGAGTATGTTGTGATAGGTACCAGTGGTGAAACTGGGTCAGACCGGTCAGGTCAGGCTTGGGCTTGGCTGGTCCTGGTTCTTAGTATTCAAGGCCTGGTATTGACCCGGTTTAGGCCCAAACAGTACCTGTCCTGCAGTCCTGGGCCAGTGGGCTGGTACCTGCTGATTATTGTTTTTTTTCTAATTCTAGGCGTTTGGCCAGGAACGGGCTTGGGCCTGACCCAAAATCCTAGCCCGTATCCCACCTCTATATCCTCTGGTTTTTATCGAAAATTGGGCCCATCCCATTATCAAACAGTACTGGTCCTGGTTGGGCCTGATTGCCTAGGCCCAGTCCACTACTAGGTACCACAACTTGGTTCCATACATATGCACACAGAATTTCAACGGCTAGGATATTTGCACACCTAGGATGTTTTCTTCAAATCAATTCATACTTTCGCAATATTAAAATACATAGAGACCAGTCATTTACCAGACAAGTTTAGAATAAATCAGATCGGATCATATTAGACTAGTAAATTTCAGTTCAAAAGAAAAAATCTTTACTTAAAACATCTTTAATTGTAAGTACAAAAAATATCTATCCAACCCAGTAATTTATAGGTACTTTTACATTCGATATGCCTTTTCATAATCATTTGTTTTATATAACTTGAGTTATAAAATGATGATGTGTTCTTCTAACCATAATTTTTAAATTTGTTATTACAACTGTTATATAATTCCTTAATTGATGCAGATGCTTATATAATACGATAGTATGACAAATAAATTTTGTTTTTGTGCTATAGCATTTAATTAATTCGTAACATACACATAGCGTGCTTATTAGTTAGACTCGTTGCAAGTGTGATTCAAATTCTATATTTAAATTATATAAATTAATATATTGAGTTAAAATATTTTAAAAGCATTATGCAAAAGTTCGGTATGTATATAATATGAGCACGGCCAAAGCATTATGATAATTTTTTACCTAACGACTCTTATCGTTGTATAATTATTGTACACGATTTCAAGAAACAACAACAATATATTCCCTCCATCCCAAATTATTTTACAACAATGATTTACAAGGTTGATTCAATATGAAGTTAATCATTCCTTGACAATTTTTAAGTTAATGATGGCAACAAATATTTGTATATCTAGAAATAAGATCAAATTCTATTGGATTGCAAACACTAGATCCAAAAGTGATTATACATTCATAAATTGTGTAGCAGTGTAGAACAAGGAAAATATATTTGAAAATCATGTTGAAATAAATAAGGTAACAAAAGAAAAGTATCAAATCTATTCTAGTCCAATATTATAAGATTCCAAGTTCAAGTCCAATAATATCAATAAAATAAACTGCATCAAATCTTATAGTTTCTTAAATATAGAAAACTCCAACCCAATATAATTAAATTAACTCTCCTACGGTTAGTTAGTGACTCCAAATGGGCTTCAGTCACTATTAAATCAGATAAAATTAAAACATATGAAATTTATTTATTTTTTGCTTTCAAATTGAGGCGGTAAGTCATTTGTCACAATAACAAACACCTATGCTATTATGAAGAATGCTTCAAACGAATTTAAAGTTTTCTATATATAACTCATACTTCCTCGATCCCATATTGTAAAATACATTTGACTTTGATCTACAAAAAGAGAAAGGTGGAATGATTGAAAATTATAAAATGAGAAATTAAAATGTAATTTAATTGATGAAGATGTTCAACTTTGGCAACCCAAAACTGATTATATCTTACAAAAATTTGAGTACTACAAGTCTACAACTCAGTGAGAACTAATATAGATTATAGACTAAAGAAAAATTAAAATTATATATGATGCATGATAACCATTTAACAAACAAATTTATAATTAATTGTGATTAGCTCATAATAGATATTCATTTTATTCAAATTTATGATCATATAAATAATTCATGATTTCTATTACGGAGTATTATTTGCGATCTTTATCCGAATCAAAGTAACATTCTCGGGCATATACCTGTCAATGGGTCGGGTCCGGGCCGGAACGTAGTGTTCCGGACCCGAACCCGTTAAGTAAATAAAGGACCCGGACCCGACCCGTTTACCCGGCGGGTCTGAAAATTTAGACCCGTACCTGGACCCAACGGGTCTCGGAACTGGGTCGGGTAGACCCGCCCCGCCGAGTATCACATGCAGAACATTATAATTTTTTTGAAAATAACAAGACATGTATATGAAATGTAAATCAAAGTGCACAAATTTAAAAGGAAAATATATCTTCACTTTTCAAAACAATCAAGGTTTGTCATAGAAAATTAGTATTTTATCCAATATAGTATCAGTTCTTGTAGATACGTACAATTCCGCACCATTTTCATCTTCTGGGGAAAATGGTTTTGCCTGTTTCAGCCAAAGGCTTGGAGAGACAAGTCAGACAACTATTTTCTGAGATTTCTTCATTCAAGTTGCCGTATTTACGGGCGAAAAGTAAAGGAATGAGCCTTCTTTTGCTGCGCCATAAGTCAAGGGTTAGAGCATCGCATTTGTAATGCGATGGTCATCGGTTCGATTCCGATAGCTGGCTTTTACATATGGAAAATCGCCTTTTGAAATCTTTGAAATAATAGTAACAATTGACTCACATTGGAATTTGTAACTATTTTAATCAAAATTTTGCTCCCTTTCTAATAAAACTAATAAAATAAAATAAAAATCTTTTCAAAACTTATTTCCTTTAGTAGCCATTCTAACATTAAAATGAGTCAATGTTAAAAGAAAAACACAAGTTATTCAACTGTGTGAAGCAATAAGTAAGCGAAATCAGTAGGAATACCGGCTATAAGACAAAAAAATATACCACTATACCAGTGAATAAGTCTTTTAAAATGAGGTAAACGAACATGTATAAGTTACAAATAAATAACCTAGGTGAAATTGTTTTTGTAATCATACACACGTACGAGAGTTCACTACCAAATAGGAATATTTGGTAGTGAATTATAAAAAAAAAACATTACTAATTTAGCAGCTATCCACTGGCTATGAGGTGCTCTATTATTCATCCTAATTCAAAAAAAAAAGGATGACACTCCTGTAAATTGGACTTTAATTACAAGTTTGACAGATATAGAATGGGGCTATGATCCTGATACTTGCAGAGCCCCTATGTCTTTTTAACATAATAACTTCTCATCACAGTTGCCGGATTCGAACTCGGGACATACCCCTTGTGGCACCCCTATATACTAATTGAGTTACGCCTACCAGTTATTCATTCTAATTCAAATATTGTATATTATGAGGTGCACCGTGAGATGCTCTATACATAATTCGAATGCAAGTAATAGGTATGCTTTTTTTTCGAATACTAGTACAGTTCAATTCAATTATATTCGAATTATATAGAAAAATTTATTAATTTACTTATTTATTTATTTACATTCATATGTTATACTACACTTTATAAATAAATATACTTCAATGTATAAATATTAATAACATAACATTTATGTAAAATACTAGTAGCTATAATGCATATTTTAATTTGAATGTTCCTATTTTGCCAAGTCCAAATAGCTTATTTTAAAGTTATAATTCTCCGTTGATTTATTTATATTGATGTTAAATTTGAAGAAGTGACTTGTAGATATATTTTGTTTGTTATGTAATATGAAAATGAGTTAAAAGGAGGGGCAAACTATAACGTTTGATAAAATAAGATCCGAATATTAAATGAATACGAATATCCGATAACTATACGAATACAAATAATATTGTCATGTATTCGGTTCGATTTGTTTACAACCAGTTCCACATACATTCATTTTAGGTTATTCTATCAGCGGTAAGTGGTTCTTGCCGGGAAACAATATTTTTGACCTCTTTCAGTTTGCAACGAAGTTACATCTGTAGTATAATACTAATCTTCATGACGGAATTGTAATGTTTTCTCTATTTTGCCCTATCCCCTTCTCCTTCATATCCCCAAAACACTAATAGTAGCTTTCCAAAACGTTTCTCCCCTTGATTTCAAAAAGCTGTGAGACGGTTGACAGGAGAGACTCAGAGACCTGGTTTTAAAACCCCTGACTCAGTGTATGCTGGAGAATGCACCTGCTCGGAAATTCTGGCACAATTCTTGGGCAGCAGCTTCTATCCGCATTCGATCCTGCAGTTATGTCAGACATCATTGATCTAAAATTCCAATTATAAACTAATAAAACACACTTTTAGGCCCCTGAACATGACTTGTTGGAATGTTGGGCCCACCAACCCCTAATCAAGCCTACTGCGCCTCTTTTGCATCTTTATTTAAATCATATCATGTTTTATATAAATGCAAGACAAAGAAGGGACCAGAGTAAAAAAGGGGGAGAGGGAAGGCTCAGTGAGCCTTAGAAGCCCTTGTTTGGTTCAAAAGGGGAATGGGAAGAACATAGGGAAGGGAACGAGGTGAAGGTGCTTAAACAAATTATTATGTTTGGTTCAAATGAGTCTGAAAAACTATTATTGAAAAAATATGTGTGAAATTATAGCATTTGAATGATAATTTTTGTTCAGTTTGAAAATATTTATTAGGCTATTAACAATAACAATAATGTAGAACAATTGTGCCACAAAAAAGGGAGAAGATTAAAAATTAACTCCGCCAAAAATCTCCCAGATTGAGGACGTGACTTGTGAGGATTTTGGATGATTCTACACTTCCTACACTTTCATGCCCCTCTAACCCACCCAACCAAGTACCCAACTCCTTCACTCCCCCCCCCCCCCTCCAACCAGACCAAGGCTAAGTTTACCATAACATGTAGTCATGTAGCATAACTCCATTTGGAGGTCTAGGAAATCAATGGGGCAAACAAACCAAATTCATAAGTTTAAAATGGGTTTGGGGTTTGGGAAATTATATATAAAAGGCCCAAAACCAAACATGACACAATACTTACCTTTCCTTCAAATCTAATCACAAGGTGGCCTTGTCTTGATTCTCGATAGCCACCTGAATTGTCCTTGCAAGAATGAATCAGCTAGATCATGGATTTTGTTTTAATTGTTTTTCATAGAGATTATATAGAGCATACACTTTTCATTTGATGATGTTTTACACCCTTACCAATATAAATGTCTGGGAATTGAAGACACAGCTTTGATAGAGGTTGAGCAACTTCCATCTGCATTATAGTGTATGTTAAAGTTTCCTGGTCAGAGTACAACTTGCGGAGCCATTTAGTTTATATTATAAAGACTATGAGGGTATACTTGGTACACCAGGGTAACTTTTTGACAAGCTCTGTTTGATTGGCAGAATTTATTTGATAAAATCGTGCTGATTTCATAAAATATTTAAGTAGCTTTACATATCAGCTTCACGAGCTTATAATGTATAATCAGCTCAACGTTCTTACACTAAAATTAATATGAGCTTACGTTTCGTGTCATTTTGTATTCCTAAGCAACCAATTATCTAAAATTAAAACCAACCAGCTTTGGCGTTATAAGCTCCCAACTAATTTAGCTGCTAAATTAGTTTTCTCAAAGGATGACAAACTTTTTAGGGATGGAGGTAGTATGATATAAGTTTGAAAAAATATAAGTTTTTAGAGGCGGAGGTGCTATATAAGCTCCTAATTACTCCTTGGTAGCCTAAATTTATAAATATGATACTACGTACAACTAAAGAGAACTCAAAGCATTTCCACATGAAACTAATCTGTAATGGGGACGATGGTGTAACCATTTTGTATGTTTACTTTACTAGCAAAAAAAACAATTGGATAACCACACACAATAACACGAATCATTGGTATTAATTACATATACGTGTAAAACGATATTTTCATTCTAACTTACGTCGAAAAGATTTGTTTTGAAGCACTTTGCAAAAAATGGTTCAGCTGATGGAAGAAGTCCTTGAGATTTTGTCAATTTAATTAAACAATCCCATTGCTTCTCTAGTTCAGCAACATTCGATGCAGTAAGAATGATCACATTATGGCACTTGATCTGCACAAGTCAATGACATTAGTTGACATTATTAGAACCAGAATTGTTACCCGGAAGGAAACATCATTCAATTTGCTCATCTTTTATGACAAGACATACATGCAATAAAAAGACAAAACTGCATAGAAGTCTATCCTAGTTCTGCATGGGTATGCTTCATTTTGCTCAGCTTTTGTGACAAGACATGCATGATATAAAGAGAGAAAGCTGCATACAAGTCTATCCTATTGACCATGGGGTTGTTTACTTTTTTCTATTCATTCCTTTCTGGATTAAAATGTCCATTCTGGGTTGTTTACATTTGTATATGAGGGTGTTTGCGTTGTGTGTTGAATAAACAGACTGAATTGGGAAGATAATCAATTTAATATTATTATTGTGTTATATTGTCAATGAACAATGTTATTTATTACGCCTCTACCTTCTAGCTTTTGTACTATTTAAAAGGTATCTAAAAGCTTGTAGTTGTATGTTTGGCATGACATTTTTAAGAGCTTTTCAAAAAATAAAAGATCTTTTTTGAGATGCTACGAGTAGCATATGAGAAAAGTATGTGGTTTTTAGCATTAATTAGTCCCAACAGCTTGTATACCAAACAAAACTATAACAAACAGTCAGTTTTTTACCAAAACAGCTACCACCTTTTCTTTTTAAGATCTTTTCAGTCACTAAAAGTTAACTGTTACTCAAAAGCTCACAAAAGTGTCTATTCAGCTAATTGTGCCAAACATACCCTTAATAGGTATCTTAATATGAAGGACTACTATATTCTACTTGTCACGGCGGTAAGGCGAGGCACGGCACCTAGGTGACAATTAAGCGACTACTTATATCATACTACCGCCGTCCCTAAAAACTTTGTCATCTTTAAAACTTTGACCAACTATATATTTTTATTAGAAATTATTTATGATATAAAAATGATATGAAAATTTTCTTTGTTAAAAGTAATTCAATAAAAGTATAAAATTTATAACTTCCATAATATTATAGGGGAAAATGATTAAAATACCCCAAACTTTGAAGGGGTGTGAGATGAACACCCCAAACTTGCATATGTAATTTAAAAACCCCAAACTTGCATATGTAATTTAAAAACCCCAAACTTTATATAAACAATTATTTTAGCACCATAGTCAAGTATTATTTTTTTCAAAAATGTAAATTTATGGTGCTAAATGCATAAATTAAATATTTTTGAATTCATGAAGACACAATTAACATTCTAAATTTATATTGCAAAATAAATGATGTTACCACATAAGTTTACATTAGTGAAAGAAATAATACATGACTATGGTGTGAAAATAACTTTTTATATAAAGTTTGGGATATTTAAATTACATATGCAAGTTTGGGGTGTTTACCTTACACCCCTTCAAAGTTTGGGGTATTTCTATTATTTTTCCCTAATATTATACTAATCAAATTCATGGTTCATACTTTACGAGAAGGCAAAGTTTAGGGACGGAGGTAGTATGTAATATGTGTACCTATATATATCATAAAAACACCATTTTATACAAAAAAAAATGATAGTTTTAGAATTAAATAAAAACAGAAAGAAAGTAATATTGTAGCGGCTACACTGAGAATATAACCTGCTGTAAAAAAGTAAATTACATTGCAAAAACAGAACAACAAATGATACTGATTAAACACGGAGTATGAAGTTCCAAACAAATAATACTACGTACTAATTAAGTATTTAAATATCAATAGTTCAAATTTTATTCAAAACGAAGGATCTGCCTTGGAAAAAAATCATCGTTTAACTTGCGACTTGCAGCAGTCGACGGAAGGAGTTGCCATGAAAGAGGTCGTCGTTGACATTCCTTGGTCTCCTTTTCTAATATTCTACTTTCCAGATCTGATTTTTGGGGATGGGTTTCTAAAATCGAATCTGGTTAGACAATTGGACAGTGCCATGGACGCCTGGACGACACCTTTGTCGCCTAATCTTCTTCAGGCGAGGCGATGCCTCCCCAGCTCGTGGACGCCTAGTCGCCGACTAGGCAACGCCTAAGCAATGCTGTAACCAGTATGACTATATTACAACTTAATGATTAAGTCAGTTTTTAGACTTAATGAACTAGTCGTGCTTTCAATTAAGTCATAAATAAAATGGCTTTGTGGTTGAATGAATAAGTCTCTATTCTGACTAAGTCCTTAAGTCTTACATAGGGATATAGCCTTGTATGTAGATCATCTAGTATTGGGAAATATGTGGCTGAGATTTCAACAATAATAGTGATAATAAACAATGACAATAAACAACACTAATACTCTGTAATAAAGTACTTCTTTATGCAACAAGAGATGACGATGCAATTACACAAAGAAAAGCCATAAGGTCACCATGAGCGAATAAAAACTACTTTAACATATTACAACCGAAAATAGATGCTCTTTAAAACCATGTTATCGGACACAGGGTTTGAACAACAACAAAGAAGTATCACGCAAGTAATAAAAATGTATACATTCAATTGTAAAGGTAGTCCATAATCTCAAAAAGAGAACTTCCCTCATAAAATCTCCTAAACTCAAAAAAATGTAAAACAATAAAATAGTGTGCACAAAAATTTGTGCAAGACCATCTATGGTGAGACGGTTAACACTAGTTGGGAAAAAAATCCTCCATGCAAACTTTATCAAAAGTATTGATTTTATTTTACTAAGTAATAAGTATTAGTCATCATTAAAATAGAATGTCTTAAATTTATGATCAAATGTACTACCTTGTTCTTTTTTAGTTGCAACTTTGGTGAATTTTATACTATTCATGTGCTCTACTTTAACTGTATTTTATTTATTAACATATTATTAATTAAAATTTTGAAATATTGTTAAATTACTCTCTAATTTAAATTTTAAAAATCTGAATTTTTTATTTTTTACTAATAAGGAATGAAATGTATTAATGGTCAAATTTGTGTGTTGGCAAACGTGAAAATTGAAATGTTGCAACTAAAAAAGAACGGAGGAAGTATTACTTAAAACACACAGAAATCATCTCATGATCATCTCACCGTGAGAGATCTCACAAGAGATCTACCTTCCTAATCCTTAAAGCAGTCTCAAAAAAAGTTTCAATGTCATGAAGCAATAAATTGTTTCTCATCTTCCAAATGAGTCAAAGAAATAGCTAAACAAATGGCTAAAATATCTATATATATACTATTCTAAGAAGCTTATCCAAATACATAGATACAACTGCAAAACACATATTTAAGCTTTATTCTTACTGCTCTGCTAAAATGTCATTATTGAAGTTGTTGATGCAAACTGAATGTAAGCCAAAGTACACTATAAAGAAAATAACTAACACCACATTGTTCAACACTTTGGGTGAATGAAAACAAAAAAGAAGTATCACATGCAACCAAACCAACATAGTAGTGAACATCAATATCAGAAGATCATAATAATTTGATATTATGGTATTAAATAGGACATCAGATGCAGGCCAACATACCAAAGGCACCTCCAGATCTTCATGATGCAGCAATTCTGTAATACCCTCAGGCAATTGTGCCATCTGGAATAGGAAACACGAAAGAAGGAAATATTACACAAACTCAAAGATTCTCACACCGCCAACTTTAAACATGACCAAATTGTATGTCACTGGATCTATCTCACTAGTTTTATATATCTTCCATAAGCATGTATTCCCAAATTACTTTGTATGTCAATATATTTCTGCCTGCACGAATAGTGCCCGTTTGGTAGCACTCATTTTTTCCTTGTCTGCCTTATCAACCAAATCAATCATATTTTCTCCAAAACACTAAGTTATTAGGATGTGCTGCTTCTATCATCCTTTATATACTATTTTTTACACTCATCAAGAATATTTTTGATGCAATTGGGATAACGTAAAACCTCAATATAGGAAAACCTCTATCAGGCCCTCAAATATTTTGATTATCAAATATTTAGGCCCTCATTTAGATTTTTTGTGTGTATATCTCTATTCAGTTAAAACCTTTCAATTACAAAAGAACTTGTTTGGTCCCAATGATGATCTTATATAGAAGTTATACCGTAATTCAGATTATTCTGCCATTTGAGCAGATTTAACCTCACAAACAGGTTCATAGTATTTGTAAGTTCAGTATTTAACAAAAGAAGATCTGAAGTAGACATGAGGGAAAGATTGAGTAGAAATCAAGGACATTTCATATTTACATATGATGCAACCTCATTCTTATCCCCAGTGCATTTTTCACCAATCATTTGCCTCAGATATTCTTCAAATTCTTCATCAGGAGCCTACAACCAAGAGTAATACAACACTTAATTTGCTAAAACACTATATAGATTTTAATACAAGCTCTAGAAAAGATAAGATCATTTCAAGAATATGACCAAGAAATAATGTTAAAAAAATATTGCACACCAAACGGACACCAAAAGCTTTTGCAACTCCTGCTACAGTAACATCTGAAGGCAAAGGCCCAACCCCTCCATAGATAAACACCTGCATTGTCCATGAAGCAAAAACAAAATGAGGTTGGGATAACATGATAGGACTCCCATCAAAATAACAGTAAAACGGTATATTAATGCTGAACTTCTGAGAATAACAATGGCAGAAAACCAGGGAAAACAGAAAAGTAACGGGACTGATTCGACCGCGTCCCCCTCACCCAACCAACTACCCAATTTCTGCTTACCTTTATTCTATTCACATCTCCTGTTTATATTCTTTTCCTTATGGGCCGGCCAAAGCTAAATAGTACCTGGCCCGGAACCCTCCCATACATTATTACAATTATTTAATATAATTCTATTATTATTATACTAATCTGTCCGGTTCCTATCATATCTCCCCCCTTAGAAAACCACCTTGTCCTCAAAGCGGGTGATAGGAAACAGCTCTGACCATCATCTTCATCCTTGCGCCTCTCCCTTCTCAGTACCTCACTGATTTGTTAACCAGGAGATTCAGTACTTAATACTTCAAAATTACCGATGTTTCTGCGGCAGAGGATCTGTTTAGTGAAGTTCCATTCCTTTTGGCAGCCTTCAAGCACTCAATATCCATAAATGCTTCCGTGCTTTCCTGAAACTCCTCAAAGATTCTCTCTTCTGAAACTATCAATGTGCTGGATGCAGATTTGATGTTATTCAACTCAATGTCTGCAACAAGCCCTATGCAGACTTCTCCATTTACCATCCACTTTTCTGTACGGCAGTTGGGATCACAGCAGCGGTTCCCCTTTAGCACATGCATCAATTACCTCACTACCATCAAGTGTCATGGAGTAAAAATGCTTGACCCATCAGTACATATTCCTTTGGCCGTGCCTCATAAGCATGGACATCAAGCATCTCTCCAATGTATGCAATGATTAGGTGCGGACCGTAGTACAGACCCAGGGAGGCTACCGCCCCCGCAACAATTTTTTTTTAGTGTATACAAAAAATAATTTTCACCCTCAAAAAATAATTTTCACCCCCCGAAAAATATTTTGAACCCCCAAGATGAATTTCCTGGGTCCGCCCCTGGCAATGATGAAGCACCCTTCAGATACATCTTCAAGAACTTGCAGCCCATACCCCTTTTGCTACATTTATACCACTTTGCTGGTAATGGTTCACCTTTAGGTGCCTCCCATTCTGCGAGGGCATTTGTGAAGCCAATTATAGCACTCCTTTGCCCATCCATCTTGCTTACTGCAAGTTTGCAACAAACTGAGATGAGTATAGTGACCTTTGAAATGGTATGTATCCATAAGTTGCAGTACTCTTTTTTTATATATTATCCCCTGATGGCAAATTTGGCATATATGCATTTACAGTACTCCTGTTGTGGTTTTCAGGTGTGTTTGAAGGGAAGTTCATACCTCAAACAGATGGAAAATAGCCTTGATGATCATTTGAGATATTTACTGGAGAATAAGGAGCAGAAAGTCCATCTGCAGCCTTGGGGTTCATAATTGCTTGAAATGCGGTAAAAGAGTGCATCACAGAAGTTGAGTGTTGATTGTGCACTGCTGATTCAGCCTCTTCATAATCTGAGGCTTGAGCAATGTTAAGGCTAGCCATATCTATAACATGTGATGTTGCTTGATAAGCATATTGTCGGGGTTTAGAATAAAGTGTAATGCCCAATTCAGAGCTGTTCACATCTTTTGCGGTGCAAAATTGAACATGTTACAGATTGAGGTGCAAAATTGAACATGTTACAGATTGAGGTGCGAAATTGTTCAATTCTTCACCATCTGGAAAAGCAGGAAGCCAGGAATAGCTAATTGAGGCGCAAAATTGAACAATTCTCTTTTGAGAAAGCCTCCTACAGAAGCTCCCCAATGTCCTCAATTATTAACTTGACATCTGCACGCCAAAATCCTATTGATGCACCATGGCTGATGAAACACAGTCCAATCAATCGATCAAAAATGTGAGGCAGAGGGAGATAGGAACTGTATCAATGCATTGAAAGCAATTCATTCACACTCTCTAGTTAATGCTTTACTCCAGCCATAATAGTAAAGCTATTATTATTTGAAATCCAGGCCCCTTTAGGGTCTCCAGCAGTCTCGCTGGTACATTCTTGTCCAAATGTCTGTTTTCTTCTTTGCTGGAAGATCGAAGTTCTTATCCTCTCCTAGTGATAAGAACTCTTCCCAAGAATAAATCACAATGTCAAAGCTCTCTAACTCATCCTTGTGTTCTGGTGTCACTTTCTTAAAACTGACAACCCTTTTTAAGTACTGTGAAGCCTTTGGAATGATTTTTAGAAGCAGAACATAGAAGAAGAGCTGAGTATTACCAGTTTTCCATTTCATTCCTAAATCATTACAGATCCTCAGCATGTGAATGATAGAATTATTTGTAATAGCAGGGTTTGTCTTGTAAAACTTCAACAGCCAACATAATTGTGCACAATAGTGCTGCATCCAATTCAGATTATCGAACGGCCAAGGCACCAAGTCTGGGAAGTTTTCTTCTCCCCATTCCCTTATAAGAGAGCCAATAGCTCTTGCAGCAACAGAATGAACTCCAGGGATAAGAGCCTGAGGGACAGCAGCTTTGTCTCCAGAGAATAATTATCAGCTTCTCTAGTGGCATTTTGAACTAGATTGGCGAGCCTCGGAACATCCTCAACACTATTTGGAACCAACTGGACTCTCTCTTCTTCATTTTCTCTGGAGCGTGAAAACATTATACCTTCAGATAGGTTGCCGCTGATTAACTCACTCCTGATGAAATGTTGAAGTCTGTGAACGGTGAGAAGCTGCTCGCAATGGAGCCTGTGAACTGTGAGCATCTTCCAGCGCCGACGACTGCGAACTGGTGAGATCTGCTCGTGATGACGATCGGTGAGGAGCGACTAGTGGCGGCGAAATGGTAGAAAAGAGGAACGGTGAGGCTGAGCCCTTGCTTCCAAAATTCCGAAAACGTCTCACGGTCCTCAATCTTCCTCTAAGTCGCCTGCGATTCTGGTGTATTAGCTTGTTATGCAGGTCAACCTTCTTTGTTCCTGTCTGAGCAATCATCCGCTTCAGCCTAGTTCTCATCTCTGCCAAATTGTGTTCAGCCTTTTCTATTCTCTTCTCCATTTGTGGATGCGTACACTAATTCTCCACTTCAGCGATCAAGACTCTTTGCCTCCAGCAGTGAGTGCTCTCTTACCAATGATAGGACTCCCTCAAAATAACAGTAAAACAGTATATTAATGCTGTACTTTTGAGAATAACAATGGCAGAATACCAGGGAAAACAGAAAAGTACTGGAACTGATTCGACCGCATCCCCCTCTCCCAACCAACTACCCAATTTCTGCCTGCCTTTATTCTATTCCCATCTCTTATTTATATTCTTTTCCTTATTCCTTATGGGCCGGCCAAAGCTAAATAGTACCTGGCCCTGAACCCTCATATACACTATCACAATTATTTAATACTCCTTCTGTATCTATTCAGTTGTCTCAGTTTCCTTTTTGGGACGTATCAAATTAATTGTCCCATTTTCCTTTTTAAGCTTGTTATGCAGGTCGACCTTCTTTGTTCCTGTCTCAGCAATCATCCGCTTCAGCCTAGTTCTCATCTCTGCCAAATTGTGTTCAGCCTTTTCTATTCTCTTCTCCATTTGTGGATGCGTAGACTAATTCTCCACTTCAGCGATCAAGACTACTTTCCCTCCAGCAGTGAGTGCTCTCTTACCAATGATAGGACTCCCTCAAAATAACAGTAAAACAGTATATTAATGCTGAACTTCTGAGAATAACAATGGCAGAATACCAGGGAAAACAGAAAAGTACCGGAACTGATTCGACCGCATCCCCCTCTCCCAACCAACTACCCAATTTCTGCCTGCCTTTATTCTATTCCCATCTCCTATTTATATTCTTTTCCATATTCCTTATGGGCCGGCCAAAGCTAAATAGTACCTGGCCCGGAACCCTCATATACACTATCACAATTATTTAATACTCCTTCTGTATCTATTTAGTTGTCTCAGTTTCCTTTTTGGGACGTATCAAATTAATTGTCCCATTTTCCTTTTTGGAAAGAAACCCACTCAAAAAGAAGCTACAGTACCAGTACCGCGCTACAATACTGCTACAGTCCCAAAAACCTCTTAATTATCTTAAACTACGTAAAAAAGCAAACGGGACAACTAATTAGATACGAAGGGAGTATAATTGTATTATTATTATACTCATCTGCCCAGTTCCTATCACAACAACATAACTTGAAATAAACTGAATATAGTAAGAGAAGAGAATATAAAGGGACCATGTCATTTGTAGAATTTCGCCTCTCTACTTCCTCAGCAACAGAATCTACCTACATTTAGAATGAAGAAATTCAACTATACACACATATATAGAGGAAGAAGTTTATGAGAGAGACATGAGTAAAATGTGTGTTACTTGAGCGCGTCATGTCACTATGTCACTATTTAAAGATATGTTAATTACTTAATTCGAGATTTAGAGTCACATTGTGTGTTCAGTGTTTAGGAAAAATGAAAAATAGGTTTGAGTAGATAGGTATATTTAATGTCTAGGAAAATAAAATATTAGTTCTATAAATGAAAAATTATACACTAGCCATTATATCAAACGGTGATTCTTTTTTCAAAAAATTATGAAGTTAAATGCAACACTAAATGTTTTAAATTTTTAATTTGACTCCTGTACATTATTAACGGACGTGCATCATAGGCTTGAACATTAGTTAAGGACCAAAACTGATAAGAGGTACCAAATTTCAAGTATTTATTGTGTAAAAACAGAAGATTGTACACAATCAGCCACAAGTATAATTATTACTCCCTCCGTCCCATTATTATCTTCCCATTTCTTTTTTTCAGGATGTCCCAAAATTTTATTCTTGTTACCTTTTAACTTTTAAGGAATGGTTTGTGTCTTAACATTCTTCCTCATTTTTCTACACGAACCACAATCATACAATTCTGCTTCAATAATAAGTGTGTCAATTCAAAGTGGGAAAATTTTCTTTGGACGGAGGTGGTATAACCAACAAAAATTTGTTAGAGGATACTCATACAGCATACTTACATCATTTCGAGTTACAGAAAGATGAGAGACAGTCCAACCAATTGAATGGAGCTTTCTGCATAGTGACGAGCCCAACTTGTCCTGAACAGTGCCAAATCTGAGCTATGGAGCCAAGAAAAATATATAGAATAAGTAAGCTGTCTTAAATAGTATTGTAAATTCAATTTCTCTGAGGCACCAAAGATAAATGATTTTTAATGCATGCCTTCAGTAAAAGAGAAATGCTTCCTCCTTTTATATTTACTTGCTGATAAGTAACGGAGGAATCCCAGTAGATAATCGTAGTATATTAATGAAGATTTAGTGATGGAATACAGAAAGAAACGAAAGAAAAGGTTGAGACTCTTCGAGTGGTCTCACACTCCCAAATTCCCAGTCCAGATCCCAAAATTCTGCCTGCCTATCTATTCACCACTCACCCTTAGTTTTTCTATTCCTAATGGGCCAGCCCACTTCTATTTAGTTATAAGGCCTAAAACCCTATTATTGACAATATTAAAATTACTTAAGAAGATTCTTTTTTTATTTGTAGTGTCTGGTCCCTAACACTTGCTCTACTAGGCCCTTCATAAAATTTAAAGAATAAAACTGTACGAGTTGTGACAAAATGGGAAAGAGAAGAAAACGCAAAGATACTTGCATCTTTTGATACATTTGCAATTCCCAAACAGGAAAGATGATTAAATAACTAATTAAAAAACTTTCACAGAAAAAAGTGGAGCAAAAAATAAACAGAGGGAGTATATTACTAGTGTTTTTCCATGATTTGCAATGGCCAAAGACTCATTATTTTTTGGTTTGGGAATATGATGGAATAAAGCAAAATGGTCACTAAACTGTATGCGTTTCTTTGTTATGAAGCAGCTGTAGGTCCACGCAATTTTCGATGCGATTTTTACTATGGTCATCCGGAAATAGTCTCTCGGTGCTTTAGAACAGGGGTAAGGCTGTGTACATCTGACCCCCTACGGCCCTACCCCACCTTAGGTGGGAGCCTTTGCGGCACTGGGGTAATGATGATGATGAGTATATTACTAGTGTGGCAAACCATATAATCTAATACTCTAGAGATCATTCTTTTTAAAACCTCTCTGACCCTGATAAACATCCGAGTAGGAAAATTAATGAGAAAAGAATGACATTTTGAAATCTTCGAGAATTCCTTGTGACCACATAAAACTTAAAAGTCAAACCAATACTTGATTAAGCCAAATAGTGGTATAAAATCCAATAATTATGGAAAAGCAACAAAGAAATTATATAAAAGAATCTATGAGAATGATTATGCAATATAAAGAAATTATATAAAAGAATCTATGAGAATGATTATGCAATATGAGGGCTGACTTGCTAAGTATGGTTAGAACTTACAGAATCTCATCACCAACAGCAATTACTGAGGAGGTTAGCATGACTTTCTTGCGCAGATCTTCACTTTCCAAACCATTGCTAAGGGAGGGGAACTTTGTAGATACTGGAGAAGAATACTTCTTCACTCGTCCAGCTCTTTCCAACCTTCCATCTTGGAGTTGATACGCAGGTCTGAAATTTTCTCCATTATTTTCAGAATGGTTGACACAGAGCAATTCGTTGGGTACAGTGTCATGGATGCTCCCAATAGAAGTATAACTGCAACAAAATAAGTGTAATAGAATGTTCAAAATTCCATGATAGATTTAGGAAAGCGTGATTAGAATTTGATGCATGTTTGAGTGTGTATAGACACATACAAAATACACACACATATGAGGGTTGTTCGAGTCAGACGGGCCAATCCCATCAAGCACAATCCGCCTTTGGCCAACTAAAAATTCAAAGGCCTCCATTTTTAAGTCATTAGATGGAGATGTATCTATAGAACCAAAACAGAGTGGATGAAATGGAAGAGTGTGTCGGGTTTCTATGTGATAGATGTATGCCGACTAGATTGAAGGATAAGTTTTATCGGTGTCTGCATTATTGTATGGTATAGAGTGGTGAATAATGAAATGACGTCATATTCAAAAGATAAGAGTGGCTAAGATGCGCATGTTGCATTCGATGTGTGGACATACTAGATAAGACCGCTTGAAGAATGAAACAATAAGACAAAAGGTGGGAGTAGCACCAATCGAAGATAAGATGCGAGTCTTGATTGTGGTGGTTCGGTCATGTGGATAGAAAACTGAGTGATGCACCCGTTAAATGAGTTGAGCTGAGAGGAAAAGAGGCAGGGAGGAGAGGAAGAGGAAGATCCAAATAGATGTGGATTAGAGGAATCAGAACTGATATACTTCTACTTGGATTGGACGAGAGTATGACATTGTAGAGAGCAAAGTGGATGGTGCATATTCGTGTGGAAGATTGATATCTTTTCTCTCTTTTTATTTTAACTTTTTATCGTCTTTATCTTTCTTATGTTCTTATGTCATTTTTATCTTTTATCTTATATTCATCTTTATCCTTAACTTATCCTTTTATCATACCTTATCTTTTTACTTTTCTTATTTTTCTTTTCTTTTTGGCTCCATTTCATGGATCGATTCATGTAAGCCAACCCCAAAATCTTTTGGGAATAAGGTTTGCTTGTTGTATCTTTATCTTATCTTATTTATCTTAACTTATCTTTTTGTCTTTCTTTATCTTTTTTATCTTTCTTATCTATGTCATTCAAGCAAGTTCAATGGCTTATATAAGCCTTATATAAGCCAATAGTCTGCTATTTACCGGACCTTTTTTCTCATTTTGTTTGGAGTTTTTTTTGCCTACTAAAAAAGACTTTTAGTAGTTGTGGCCACACCAAACCTTTCGTTCTTATCGCTTCAGATTCCAATCTATATGGTGGTACAAAGTAAACCTCTTCCATTTAAGCAAGCACTAACCTAACCTTTCATAATTTGTGAATGGGGGCTCTTTAGCTCCGATTTCATGTGCCGATTCATGTTAGCCAACAAAAAAATCTTATAGGACTAAGGCTTGGATGTTATTGTTGTTGTTATAGCATTAATTATTAATTTTAACTATTGGATCTTTAATTTGAGCAAAGACAGACACTAGAAGCATATTTTTTCACCTGTAGACTTTATCTAACGATTAAAGTCAATTCATGATTAAAAATGGTGTTCTCTTAGTAAAATTTATAGCTTTATAGCTAGACAGAGATACATGCACAACAAATTACTCAAATGGAAGTTGGGATCAAAATATTTTATGGGGCAACAAAATATTGGTTGTTGTTATACTCCCTTTGTCCGCAAATGATTTGCAAAGTCAACTTTTCTTGATGAACACAATTTTTCTTTTTTACTATTTAGCATATAAATTTTGTATTGTATTCTAAATTGGATTTTGCAACTTTATAGAATTTTCAATGTAATTAACTAATATGTAATGTTTAATTATTAAAATTGATTTAATTATCTGCATTTGATTTAACTTTATCGACAGTCAACCTTAACCTTAAAAACTGCAAATTGCATTTCAATTTGGGACGGAGGAAGTATAAAGTATTCATATATGAAGGTTTCACTACATAGGGTCCGGGTAAAAAATGCAAAGAGAAAAAGTGGAATTACATTGATGTCAAAGAGAAAAAAATGCATTTTTGTCAAAGCATGGTTGCACTTCTAGCATCAGCATTTGCACTTTTCATTGGTGACAGAAGTTGCACTTAGTTATAATTCTGCCACCACGTTTTCCATTCATTTTTTCTTGATTTTTTATCCCTTAAAATTACACTCTAATGCACCATATCCATTTTAAATTTTTACCTAAGAGATACTTTTTGGTTCATCTTAAATCTTACTCCCTCCGTCCCCAAAAAATTCTTCTCATTTCCCTTTTTGGAAAGTATTGTGTAGCTAACATTCATTTACCTTTTTCTTACTCAACCACAACCACACATTTCCACTTTATTCCCACTTTCTTAAACTCCGATCCAAGTCAAACCGGGAAGAATTTTATGGGACAGAGGGAGTATATTTGTAAGGTGCGGTTCACATAAAAATGAAATTTTGACTTTCAGTGTCTCACAATTCACTTTTGCCTCTTTACATTGCACTTATTTGCAATGACCATAAATACAAAAAATGCCACTGTGTTTCACTTCATTTTTTCAGTATTTTTGACACTTAGAGCCATTAGATCCCATATCTAAGGCACTACATTGATTCTCATTTTTCAAATGAAGTCATCTTCTTAAATGATACGAATTATATACTACCTCCGCCCCCTAAGATTGGGACAAGAAGAGGTAGTGCACACGTGCGGTTTTTAAGAAAAAGTAGAGTTATGGGGTTGGTATTGAATTGATAAAGTATGAATGAAGTAAAAATGAATTAGAACCACACGACATTACCAAATATAGTATGTGTGAAATGTATGATAAACTAGATTTCTTGAAAAAACTGCAACCTTATTAGGCGATACTACAATCACAAATTTGCAATAAGTTTACGTTCTTTCATGTTGGACGTTAGCCAATAGAGCTGCTGAATACATATGATACCACTAATCTTTATTGATCTCAAAGGCATTGTAATCATTTCTTAGGCATCCTAAATTATGATGCCATTAGTTATCCCTATCTGGTTTAATTTGCCTCTTTCAATAAATTATGGGTCATCCGAAAACAGCATCTTTGTGCTATAGTACAGGGGTAAGACTAGGGGTAAGACTGCGTACATCCGACCCCCACCTTACACCACTGTAGGTGGGACTTGGGAGCCTTTGCGGCACTGGGGTAAATGATGATGATATATATATACGTATGTGTGTAACATCAATATACCCTAATTCCAATCTGAGGAAGGAAAAAATATTCACCCTTGGTCATAAAGGCTGCAATATTGAACTTTGCAAGTCAAAAGGAACGCCCATACATCTCTGCCAAATCAGGATGAACACATATTAGTTCTCAAGAATCAAAATAAAAAACTCTTGAAATCTACCATGAGATGGAAAAACAGTACTGAAATAAGCCGAGGCAAAAAACAAATTGTAAGAGAGGATAAGGTGCTTTAAAGTGTCTTATGGGTCTCATTATTTTCATATAATCCAAACAGGTTGCAATAATATGGAGGCTATCCAAGATCCAAATAAGGACAAGTGGAGAATGGATATTAATAAATCATTCTTTCACACATGAAATGTTTTGTGCAATTTCTGAAATAATTGAACAGAGAAAGTATGAGGAAATTTTAACCAACCTGAACTCATGTTAATACAATTTCCAGATGCAAACTTAGTTTCACACAGAAGTTATACAAAGTTATTAATCAAGATAGAGCATTTCACAGAACTACTTTTTCTTATGTGCCAGAACATTTCCTTCTCATCATCGTCATCAACATCGTAATCCCCACTAGGTGGGGGGTTAGTGGCATGAAATTCATACAACCACACTCCAAACCGTATTCCCAAAAGATTTTGAGGTCGGCTAACATGAATTGGTTCGTGATATCGGAACCAAATAGAAAAGAAAGATAAGAAAAATATAAAAGACAAGGTAAGATAGAAAAAGATAAGATAAAGATAACATAAAATAACATAAGAAGGATAAAAATAACATAAGAAAGATCAAAAAAATACAAAGATAATAGAGAGAGAGACTATACATCAATCCTCCACGAGAATATTTGCCCTCCACTTTGCTCTCTGATAGAGACTATCTAGGTTTACAAAAGATTTACAGAAATCTATGAAGAATCAATCTGAAATTTTATTGAGATGAACCAGTACAGTAATGGTAACAAGAACTGGCCGAAGCCCCCCAAAAGAAAGAGATACTCTCGATCTTCCCAAGTCCCAAAGACAAAGTCCAAAAACAGCCTCCTAAACTCCTCCCAGCTCTCTTCTATTTATACTAACTAATACACTTATTGGTTTATACTCTAATAGGCCTGGTCCTTTATTATTATTATTATTATTGGGTGATAGGACACCGCCACAATTTTCTTCTTTTCTTTCATCCTAGCACCTCTCCCTTTCCAATACTGGATGGATTTCTGGATTCTTAGCTCGGCTGCTTCCATCTTCTTCCCTATGCCTTTCAAAACAGATTTACACCGCTCGGCTGCTTCCATCTTCTTCCCTATGCCTTTCAAAACAGATTTACACCACTGCCAGGACATTTTGTGCAGAAATTTGACTCTTTCCGAGTCCTTGGAGGTTAGGGCCCAGCCATCTGCAACACCGAGTACATCAACTTCCTGCTCTTGAACATTTCCTTCTGAAATATCGATATATAACCCATGAGATTTCAGTAATTTTCCTTCTCCTTTAGTATTTATCATCCCCTTCATCTTCTTGTCAGTTTTCAGTTCTCTTAATAAGGGATCTCCGTGTATATTTGCCTTCTGCCCATGTACCTCCCATTGGATGGTCTGATTCTGAAATCTGAAAGTTAACTGCCATATCTCCCAGGCCAGCTAACCAATCCATTCCCAGCATGACATCAACTCCACCCAATTGCAGAATGTAGAATTTCTGCAGAATTTCGTTTCCTTGTACATCCACTGTCAACTCATCACACCTACCATGGTTGGAAAGGCCCTTCAGTCTAGTCGAAGGGCCTTGATCGCATAGAAATCCTAATGCAATCTTCCATTTCGTCCACTTTGCTCTTATTCTATGGGATACATTTCCATCTAGTTCATTGTCCTTTTGAATTATGCAGCCCGAGTCACGGAACATATCACAAATTGGTATCTCCTTGTCATCAAGGGTAATCCTATTATTATTACTCCTTCTACCTCCACCAAACCTGCACTACATATACTCAGTTTTGCTTTGACTCAATCTGAAACTGATGAAAACAGAAAAATAAAAATCAACGGAATAAACATGTTGCCCATATAATCGACGATAGAAATCGTAGCCCAGAACCAAAAGGCTAAACTCCAACTTCATTCATAGATAAGAAAGAATGAACCCTAACAAGGGTTATAAATAGCCTTCTAATAAGAGACTCAACAAAAATCATAATCGAGCAGAAATTAATTAAACCCTAATTAAGCCCAAATTACTCTATTAAATACACTACTCATAATAGACCAAAACCAGAAAACATAACATAAACTTTATAATAATAAATAAAACTATAATCCCAGCCCACAACCAGCCCATGGACGTGGGCCCAAGCCCGTTCCCGTCCCTTGATCTCCCTACTCTCTATCAATCCACCCCTCTTGAAACAACCTTGTTGTGCTGGTTCAAATCCGGAAACCGGCTGAGTGGCTGACATTAATCTCTGGGAGCTGCCAAGTATCTTTAGGGAAGTTGTCACTCGATCTTTTAAGCCCGTTCATGAAATACCCCAAATAATGATCGTTACATAGCCTTGGGACCTGACTTGTTACTTGAACAAAAAATGAGAGGTACTCCTCCATAGTCCTTGTCTGCTTGACTCCGAACAACCGTTTAAAGCGATTGCCCTTAAACTGTGAGTCAAAACGAGCCATCAACGCCTCTGTAAGCTCATCTCATGACATGCCCGGCTTTCGTGCTCATAACCAAGTCAGCCAGTATACCGTTGACCCTTCCATCGTAACAAAAGTGGTTGTCACCCTCTTTCCCGGCGGAGTACAGTTGAGTTCGAACGGTTGCTTAGCTCTAACAACCAAGTCGATCGGGTCTTCTCCGTCAAACGAGGGCAGCATCGTTAGAGAGGTGATGCACAGTTTAGTTCGGCAAAAGGATGCCGCTACCGCATCGAGTGAAGCCATCGCCGATGAATGCTCCTCCACCGCTGGCGGCGCGAGAGCCTTCATGAGTGCATCCAAGGAGGCTGCAATCTCCGCCATTTGGATTCCTTCCGCATCCACACGTCCAGTTTGTGGTTCGTCAAAACCTGTTCAGCCTCAATCTTTGACAAACATTCAGTGATTGATCTTGTCATTCCGGCAGGACGGGGTCCGGCATATCAAACCAATTGATGAAAACAGAAAAATAAAAATCAACGGAATAAATCTGTTGTCGAGATAATCAACGATAGAAATCGTTGCCCAAAGCCATAAGGCTAAACTCCAATTTCATTCATAGATAAGCAAGAACGAACCCAAACAAGGGGTATAAAAAGCCTTCTAGAGTTCTAGTAAGAGACCCAACAGAAACCTTATTCGAGCCGAAATTAATTAAACCCTAATTAAGCCCAAATTACTCTACTAAATACACTACTAATAATGGGCCGAAGCCCGTTACCGCCCCTTGATCTCCTTGCTCTCTATCAGAAACCTTTGGTCTTCAATGTTTGTCGTCATACTTCTGACTTTATTTTAGCACCTGATTGTGTCTCATCAATCAATACAATATCATCAGAAAACATCATGCACTACGGTGTATCTTCTTGAATTGACTTCGTAAGTTCATATATGACTATAGCAAATAAGAAAGGATTTGTAGGCATGTAGCCTATCCTTGGTGCACTCCGATAATAATGGGAACTCTGGAATCTTTCATATACTAGTACGGACACTTGTGGTATGAGCCTCATACATATCCATGATGATGTTGATATACTTGTGTGATATGCATTTTCTTGTTAAGGCCCACCAAAAGACTTCTCGATGTACTTATGAGTTATCATATGCCTTTTCTAAGTCACTGAACACCAAATGCAAATCATTTTTAGTATTTCTAATCTCTATACTTCTGCACAACTTGTCTAAGAAGGTGAATTGCCTCAGTTGTTGAGCACTCAAACATAAAACCAAATTGATTCTCTGAAATTTTCACACTTCTTCGGAGTTTTTGTTCAATCACTTGCTACCAAAGTTTCTTGGTGTCACTCATAAGCTTAATCCCTCTATAGTTGGCACATTCTTGACATCACCCTTATTCTTACATAGGGGAATAAAAGTACTCTTCCACCAACTTATTGACATTTTGTTGTTTCTACATAATCTTGTTCAAGGAACATGTTAACCACTCGATGCCTCTATCTCCCAAACTTCTTCTGGTCTTAATCGATATGTCATCTGGACTCACTACCTTTTTTCGGCCATCTTTCTCAAAAGTCTCTTTAACTTTTGTCATCTAGATCTTGCACTTATTCCCATTGAACAAGGTTTTAAAGTATGACCCCCAACTCTCTTTCATTTCATCATACTTTATTAGTACCCTTTAGTCAACATCATTCACACACTTAACTTTTTCAATATCTTGAATCCTACGATCACAAAAGTATGTGGATATCTTTTCTTTTTCTCCTTCTCCAGAGTACAATTTTACATAAAACTCCTTGTACTCCTCTGTTTTCTTCGCTCCAATTTTTGTCCAACTTTTTGTAGTACTTCGTATTCCTTATGTCTTGTTTCACCTCATCATTCCACCAAGATGTATCGTTTTTTATTACAGACGTCCTTTAGATTCTCCAAGTATCTCTTTCGCCATTTTATTAATATAATCACACAATACCCACATGTGTGTCATTATTGATACAACATACATCTTCTCTGAGCATTTTGTGAGCAAAGCTTTGTTAGAGATCCCCTCGAGCCTCCACACGTTATCTTTGGCTCAACTTGTTGTTTAACCTGCCTTCTATGCTTCTTAATTCATTGTCGCATGAAATTCATGGCACTAATTAATTTTTCTAAAATTAGTTAACAAGATTAAAAAATCATGAAAAAATGTCATGTTTTACGCCTTATGTCCTTAATGTCATAACCTTCTTACACACTCCTAACAAAAGAAATATAATGACAAGAAATTCTAAACTCATCAACATTACAGGTGATAGGTTATTTCCACATACATGGAAAAGATCATGACGTTGTGGTCTATGATGGAGCTGAGATAGTTGTTGTTGTAATGCTCATTACAAGAAGATAAATAATGTAAAAGAACATGCAAATTATATTTCACAAAATATATTTTCCTTTGCAAATTGTGGTTAGCTATCCATTTAAGTAATTCCTTTATAGAAATTTCAAATTAATAGCTCAAACAACACTCATATACCCATACACCCTTCTCAGGCATCTCTTTAAATGCATGGAGAGCTTATATAAGGAATATAAAAGCATACCTATATGACCAATCCAAAATTGGGTTCACCCTCATGAAGGATGGCCAGCCAGGTGAGCTAGGAGAGAATTGCTCTTGACCTACCTGAAAGGACTCAAAGAAGAATCAGTAGAAAGCAGCATAGCATATCAACACAACTTGCCAATAAATCTTATCCTTTTCCTTGAAAAACTACAGATAACTGAGCAGATATAGATCTAGAAGGAACTAATGTACCGCAGTAGGATCACCAATTCGAACACCGAGAAAAATAGCTTTAATTGGGTTAGCTTTGAGCAGAGACTCCAAACCAGATTTGAAGTCAAGTCGAATAATATCCATTCGCAAATTGTAACTGTTTGTAAATGAAAGGATCATGTTAAGGAAATTTCATCTGTTATGAGATAGTCAACAAATCAATCTTAATTACAACAGTAGAAATGGATGATATCAATAGCATCATAGCCTTAACCCCACATACATTTCAGCAATTTCATAGGTAAATGAGTTTATTTCTGGAAAGGCGGATGAGCTCTCAAAATATATTGTCCGTAATGGAAATTGCACTTCACCATAACCAATGTCCCCATTAGAGTGACACTTCTCACTTTCATGCAAGTAATAGCCCGCCCTGAGTAGGTGAAACAAAACCTACATGAAAATGATAAGAGAAAATATTTTATATATATGTATACGTGTTGAGTTTGACTTGTTTGCAAACGTGTTGAGTTTGACTAAAACAACATGCTTGTGAAGAACATACAGTAGAATCCTTCCCTCCATTGAAGCTCAATGCAACTTCTTCTACACTGTTCAGATTGCCAAAAAATAAGAACTTGCAAGCATTATATCATCAGAAGCTATAGATGAACATAATAATTTCTGAACTGAGTCACTGGGTGAAAGTGTAGATCATAAGTATAATATTTGTCAACAACAAAAAAGGTAAAGTATATGATACTTTTTTAGAAGTATAGTAAATAACATAACAGAAGAGCCAATCCATCCATATAGATCTTAAGAAATGAAGCTTACGAATATAGTGCAAGAGCTCTTTTAATCACATAAATAGAATTGTTATACTTGGTCTTCAGCCTTCGATCATCGCATTCTTTGATTGCTTGATCAATTTCCATGTCTTTTGGTCGACAAATTGAACCCTATCATAGTGCACAAAATTAGTCAACAATTTTGTGGAGATCAATGCCCCTGAACTAATCTCATGCCGAAAAGGGGAAAACAATAAACATATAAACATGAAATAGTGCTTGACGCATCGCGCTTACTGAAAAAGTACAGATTAAACAAAAGACCAGAAGCAGATGAACAGAAAACTAAGAAAATGGGTTGATTTGGCATGTAAAACACAAACAATATTGATTAATTGATGTGCACAAGTAAATTAAAGACAGGATAAATATGTGAAGGCTAAGTTGTTTAGAACCAAAAAATCCACCTGACGTTGATGGGGGCTGGCTGAAGAGCAGCAGCGAAGAATTTGACGGCTGCAAAATGTATTCTTTTTATCTCTTCCTTACTGTACTACGTACGACACACTTACACACATGAGGAGATGAGCGAGGGGATGGGAGTATACGGAGTATGCTTCGAGATATACGGTGGATCAGCGTTTGATGTTTCAAATCTCACTCAAATCTTCCGTGCCTTGCCTAATTTTGGACCCTCCCCCGTTTTCCCTGTTCTCTACGGTGGTGTGTATATAGTAAATCCCACGTATATTCCTTTTCAAATATGAAATGAATATTTGTATTTGTATTTGTTTTATTTTTTCGCATATGAATTTGAATTCAAATATGAAATGAATATTAATTTTGATTTGTATTTGTATTTGTTTAAAAATATGAATAATTAACAAATCATATACGAATATCGAATCGATTTGAACATAGGTTAAAAATTAGCCAAATAACACTTCAAAATAACTTTTCTTATATTTCGTATTTTTTATGTTGTGAATGCATGTTATGGCTTAATGAAGTATGTGTTTTTAGAATTTAAATTTAATGGATCAATGCATTTTTAGATGATGCACAATAAAGTGAATTAATTTTATGATTAATAAATATAAATTTATTTCAAACTTTTTGAAATAAACACTAACACACATGTATAAAAAATTATACTTATAATGTGTGAAATAAGTTGATAATTGTATATATCAAAGTCAAACAACTCCGATTTTATTCTTTAAATCGAATACATAATTATTTGTATTGTATTCGAAAGACATTTAAACCAAAAAATGAATTGTATTCGTATTTATATTATGGATTATTACAAATGGGCTTGGAATCTGTATGCAAAAATGTATATATGGGTTACACTTTGAGGATATTTCTATCTTTTAAAAGTTATTATAGTGTTATTACTATTATTATTAATATTGATATTAATATTATCATTGTTATTAATCGAATATATAATTGATTAATATTCTAATTGAATACAACTGATGAGCATAGAAGGTCATGAAACCCAAGAAGATATTGTTCGTTAAACTAAACATTTAATGTAAAACTCATGTTTTATCCTTGGTGGTCTTTTGCTTTTTCTTGTTGATTGTTGAACTCTTGAGGACTTGGAACTGTTAAACATTTGACTTTACTCGAGGACGAGTAAAGAAGCTAAGTGTGGGGGAGTTGATATTCATGTAATTTCCGATTGTATGTTTGTATTTTTAACTAGTTTTTATTAGTTCTAGTTGTGGAAATTACACATACAAGATCTATTTAGATCTACTTACCAATGGGTACCTACTTTTCGCACATTTCAAATGGAATATCAAATTGAATCGGGTCCCCACAAAGTTTTTGGTGTAATACTTCATTTTCATTTTTATTTGTAATTTAGTTAGATTAGGATTTTTCTGAGCTAAACAGGTCAAAGATCATCCAAGGGATCAGGATTGGACCTTAAAAGATCAAGGAAAGTGCAAGGAGGCAAGAAAGATTTCGATTTGGAAAAAATACTCATGTACCCGGTCGGGTATTGCCTATACCCGATCGGGTAATTGCTTGATTCGACTGTCCAAATCAAATCCGAAGACAAATGATCGTGGGAGCAAATTTTCATAAAGATTTGTCACATACCCGATCGGGTATATACCCTTACCCGATCGGGTATGCCCAGAAAAGTGACTTTCTGGGCAATTTCCTAAGATACCCGGTCGGGTATCCTATATACCCGGTCGGGTATCAGACCCTGCAGCTCCCAAAAGCCTATAAATACACCCCTTTCCTTCCCAATAAAATCACAAATTCACATATACTATTTAGCTCAGTTTAGATTAGTGTTTTCTTTATACTTTCTTCATGTTTAGTCTCCAAATGATGAGCTAAACTCTTCCATCTTGGTTTTGCTACTTTGAAGCTTAATGAATTTGTAAGTTGTGAGTTATCTTCTTTAATCTTCTTCCTTGAATATTAATTCTTCCTTTAAATACTATTTCTATATCAATGTTGGGGAGTGTTACTAAGATGACAATTAGTTAACATCTTGACATTAGTTATAGTAATAGCTATTTCTTCCTCTATGTTAATATTGGGAAGTGTTACTAAGATGACAATTAGTTAACATCTTGATATTAACTATAGTAGGGGTCATCTTCTTTAATATTCTTCCTTGAGTATTAATTAATTCTTATTCATATTTCATATTAATATTTTGAACATTACTTAAAGGATCAACTAGTTTTGTTTCATATATTAATTATTACTTGAATCGGTCGATTAATACGCTTGTTATTATTTTTATTTTTTTACACAAAAGTAATTTATTAAATAAAAAGGAAGTTACAGAAAGTAGGAGGACCAAACCAATGCCTCCTCCCAGAGTTATAGAATTACATAAGGGAATCCAATAGCATCAAATTTCAAGATATTCGTGAAATGAGTAGTTTGTGAGTTGTTTCCTTTACTGATATACTGAGCTGCCCGGTTGATATACTGAGCTGCCCGGTTGACTGCTTTGTTAATGACCTCGAGGGGAATGGATTGCCGATTCAAGATCCTCCTAATGCGAGTAATAGTGTATATATCATCCCAATAACCAACACAGTGCGTCTTAATTGCTCGACCGGCCTTCTTGTCATCAATTTGAATGGAATCAATCACCCACCGATTATCACTGCAAAATATTAAGGCATAAAGGATGCAAGTAATGATAGCATGTTGGGGAGATTTAGCCATTGTCCTATGGCAATCATGACCAATAAGATCGCCCTTATGATTCCTAACAAGGAAGGCCGTACTATGAGAAAGACTAGTTTGGGTAGTAGCCAAATTAATGGTGATTCTATTCTCGATCGGAGGCTTCCATTTAATAGTGTTGGGTCTAACAAGGCTGAGGTCTTTGGTGGGCTTGTGATTGTGGGAGTAAGCAAGGATATCTCTTTTAATTGCTAAGATAGCCTCAGAATGCGAAATGATTTTGTCTTGGAATAAATTGGCATTCCTCATTTTCCAAAGGTTCCAAAGAATTATAGCATAGTTGATAAAGTTATCCTTTTTGGTCCAACTAATGATACAATCCTTAAAATTGCCATCCGAGCCACCGATATTAATATTAAAATGGGACCAGATTGGGCTATTGTAGCCACATTCCATGAAATGACTAATAGTATCGGGGTGGTTGCAGCTAGGACATTTAAAGGGGCCATGAAAACCAAATTTAGTTAATGTATCAGAACTGATAACTAACCCATTTAAAATCCGCCAAAGGAAAAAAGATATTTTTTTGGAATCGGCTTATGCCAAATGATATCCAGGCCTTTATTTTTGGGGCGTTTAGCCCGAATGTCATCATAGGCCAATTTGAATTTAAAGTTCCCACTTGGGGAGCTTTTCCACACAATCACATCAGCCTCATTAGTAAAAGTAGGGACATTGAGTAACAAAGTGTCACGAACCGATTGGGGAAGATTTCCCACATGCACAGTAAGGTTGTTGTAGGCATTCCTTATGGAGAGGTTAGGGTCATAGTCAGTGTCCGGGATCAGGGAGTGCAGCGATCCTAAGGGACTCCAGTTGGAATCCCAGAAGGAGTTGCTCCCATCATGCACATGGAATTCTTTAACAGAGCACATGGAATTCCAAAAATAAGAGTGGTGAGAATGACGAAGAGCATTAAAAAGCTCGGCCCAAATGTTATTGTTAGCATCCACTTTCCACCAGAGTTTCAGAAAAAAACAACGTTGGACCTCATCAAGCCTGCGAAAAACAAGACCATTTTCGTTAGTAGGGAAGGAGCATTTATCCCAAGACCTCCATATGTGCTTAGTGGTAACATTATTTTTGTCCCACAGAAAATTAATACAACGCTGCTCAATATCTTTTAAAATGCTTTTAGGCACATTGGAGGAGGCCATGGGATACAAGGGGATGGTAGATAAGACATGTTTAATGAGAATGATTCTGCCAGCCGGGGAGAGGAGCTTATGCTTCCACCCTGAGAGTCTAAGGTCAATTTTGTGAAGGTGGTGCAGAAAATAAGATTTCTTAACCCGCCTACGAAGATATTAACTCCCAGATACTTAAAAGGAAAGGAGCCCCTGTTCATACGAGAGATGGATTTAATCATGGCACAAGTTCGTGTAGGAGTATTAGGGGCAGTATAAAAACAACTCTTACTGGAGTTGATCTTCTGGCCTGCACACTCCTCATACCGATTGAGTAAATTGAAGACTTTATTAAGGGTTCTTTTATTGCCATTCAAAAAAATAATGAGATCATCAGCATAAGATAAGTGAGAGACAATATGCAAACCAATGTGAGTGTGGTAAGGTTTGCAGCCCCCAGTCTTAAAAAGGTGGTTGAGGTTTCTAGAGAGAACCTCAGAAACAATAATGAACAGAAGGGGGGACAGGGGGTCCACTTGTTTGACCCCACAGGATGGGTTGAAAAACCACAAGGGGGTGCCATTGATCAGAATAGAAAACTAAGTGCTTCTAAGGTTATTCATAATCAGATTTGTAAAATGAGGATGGAAACCCAGTTTAGTGAGGACAGAACAAAGAAAAGGCCAAGATATTCTGTCAAAAGCTTTCATCATATCAATTTTGAAAAGGACATTATGGCCATTGATTTTATGAGGAAGGCAATTGGTTAATTCTTTCATAGCAAAGATAGTATCAGAAATTTCTTTACCTTTTTGAAAAGTGCTCTGCTCCAAAGAAATAATTTTGGGTAGAAAAGGGGTAAGCCGATTAGTTAAGATTCTGGTGAAAATTTTATTTATAAAGTTGCTTAAACTAATCGGCCTAAAATTTTGAAAGGAGGCAGGTTGAAAATCTTTAGGAATAAGAGTAATGAAGGTGTGTCCCACACTTTTAGGTATGGGTACACCACAAAAAAATCCCCTGACAGCATTAAGCAGATCAAATTTAACAATATCAAAGCAAGTATGATAGAAAGTACCATCGAAACCATCAGGGCCAGATGCACTATTTTTATTCAATCCAAAATCCGCCTCTTTAAGATCGGGCATATTAATCGGGGCAAGAAGAGTATTATTATCCTCTTCCGAAATGCATATGGGGACCTGTTCCAGAATATTAGCCACAGAGGAAGGGGGGATCCATCTCATGAGTTAACGGCTAAGGTCCCAATCTGGCCAGGGGAATCAACCCAGTTACCAGTAGGATCCTTGATTCTATGAATAGAGAGTCTGAGATGTTTGGCCTTAACATAGGAATGGAAGAATTTGGTATTAGCATCACCCTTCTGGATCCATTTGACTTTAGCTTTTTGTTTAATTTGTAAAAAGTAGTGACATCTTTTTGCTTTAAGATATACGTGGAGTGGGCCTTTTGATAAGCAAACAGGTTTTCAGGATTATCCTGGGAAAAAAGAATGCTTTCTTTATCATTGAGATCAGCCTCAGCCTCCCGCAGGTTTTGAAAGATGTTGCCAAAAGAGCTAGAATTCCATTTTTTTAAAACCTTTTTAAGCCTTTTGAGTTTTTCAGAAAACAAAAACATCCCATACCCAACACTGGGTTCAACCCAGGATTGATTGACAATGGTTAAAAAGTCTTTATGGTTACACCACATCTGTTGGAACCTGAAACCAGAGTGAGGGGTGGAGTAGGTGTGTTTAATTTGAAAAAGGAGAGGAGTATGATCAGAGAGAAACATAGGAATTCTGGTACAGGAAAGGGAAATATCAGCGAATAACAAAGGTTGATTAATAAGAACTCTTTTTTAAAAACAGTGCCCCCCTTTCTCCTTCCCATCCAAGTGTAATTCCCCCCTATGAGAGGGAGATCAGAGAGGTCATTGGTATTAATAAAAGAATTGATGTCATCAATAGAGGCTTTATAAGGGATGGATTTACCAGTGTACTCAGTTATACTTCTTATAGTATTGAAATCACCTGCCAAGAACCAGGGCTTTGTGCCGAGGTTACTGTGAAAGGTGGTGAGTTCTAACCAGAGGTTCTTCCTGTTGTTTCTGTCAGAGCTAGCGTAGACCAAAGAAGCAAAAAGAGGGTATTGGAGGGAATTGATAGTAATCTTCAAATGAATGCACTGTTCATGTTCAGAGAGGATAGAGAGGTTGATGTTGTCGGTCCAGAAAAGCCAAATTTTGTTGAGAAAATGGTGATGATTGTGTTGAAAGTTAATACGCTTGTTATTAATTCGGTCCTTTCACGGTAGTAAACTTGGGTTATTAATGTATGCGTTTCATGGTTAATAAACCAAGGGGAATTAAATATATTGATTAAACCAATAAACCGCTTGTGTTGAGGTTATCAATCTCAATCGTTTTCATCTTGATTTTATTGCCACTATCGAGTGAATATACGGCGCGTGTTCTATATTAACTCGGTAGTAAGTTTTATTAATGAACGCGTTTCGTTATTAATAACTACCCTCGATGAATTGGATATACTCCTCGATTGAGTATTCGAGAGGAAGATAGTTAAAGATATAACCGGGATCGACGAACATTTCATTAAGTGGATAAAAGCAAAACCAAGTCTCCTTCTCATTAATTAAACCACATAACTCGTTCATCTTTGTGTTTTAATATTCTTATGAAGCAGATATCACGTTGCTCATTGTTGGACTCCTAATACTCAAAAGAATAGGCGTGATACTCACCAAAATTCAAAATTGCATTAATGCTCATTTAAGAGAAGTCGTGAATTTCACCAAGATTACGAAATTGCCACTGGATGTATAGTGCAAGCTGTATAACGGGTTGTACGGTATAAAACTCATTCTTAGAATAGGATTTCTATACTCCTATTAAAAGTATAAAACTTTCAGGATTATAAGTAAATGATCATAATTTAGTAGAATGATAAGACTACTTATGTTTTATTCTTAGAATAGGATTTTTAGTCCTATTAAAAGCATACATCTTTCCCATAAGTAAATAAGTCATATTTTAAGAGAAAAACAATGACGAGTCTACTCATGAACTTTGTTCGTGTTTAATTCTATTTATGGAATTTTCTCATACCATAGTAAATGAGATTGTTCCTAAAATATTACTCCGTACTAGAATGAGATTTATAGGAAAAAATGCGATAAAGTGATTACTAATACACTTTTATAGTCAAATTAATGTAAAATGTGAATATAATTGTAGTCATGTATCAAACGTAGACAAAGTAAACGATGTGGACTAAATGTGAAAGTGACATCAAACTCGTAGGATCAAAAAGTGAAATTTATTTAACTAAAAATTATTAAATCACATTTGGTCTATTATCTTTATTTTGGGGTTTTAATAGGATTTTTTTATTGAAATACCCCAAGTACGTCGTACAAATGAAAGGGCAGTATGCACATTACATGTGGCTTTAACAAAGACATACTCCCTCTCTTCTTAAAAGATTGTCCATATTGAATTTTTTGTTTAATGACGACAAAGTTTGTACAATGAGTTTAATTATTACAATTGTGTGTAATTTATAATTTTTATACTTGTGAAAGCATTTTGATAAAATAATTTTTATATTATTTTTCATATTTATTTATAACACTTGTTTAACTATGTCATGCATGACGTCACACATTGAGTATTTTTAGAAACTATAGCTGAGATGATGAAATATTTATTTAAAACACTTATTTAATTACGTCTTGCATAATTACGAACTTCCTCTTAGGGCATAGCCGCCGCTAGGTTATTTCCGATTTCGATCTTTCTTGATCGAAGTTCGGTCAGTGTTTCCCTAGCGAGATCTCTCGCGTAGGGTTTTTACTTCGCCGTCCTGGTGCGACGTTTCTTTCAATCGACGCAGCTCTGCGCCGGATTGTCGTGGTTTGGACGTAGCTCGGGATGGATGATCGTGACAACGAGAAGATGGTGGAAGAAGTGAGAGAGATACGTAGGGATGATCGGGACATGGTTATCATGGAGAGACTGAACGTTCCATTCGATGACATGAATTTGCGTCATATGACGGGTACGCCACTGAAAGGGGGTATCAATCGAGCGACGGTCCGACCTCCGCCTGAACCACCACCATGGGTTGTACGAGGTGCTAGAGTCCGTGAAAGTTTTCCTAGTAATTTTTATCTGTTTGTCAATTATTTTCTTGTGTTCATCTTTGTTGTTGGTTTTGACAATTTGTTTGAGTTTTTAGCCTCTCTTTATGTCATTGGGTATGGTTGGATCCATGGGAACATGTTTGGCTGTGTCAAGCCCACTACATGGTTAACAATTCGTGTTGATCTTTCGGGGGTGACTGTCTCAAAGTCTCACCATAGGGTTACAGTCGTAGTTGTTGGAGTTTTAGTTGGTGTCAGTTTTATTTTCCCTTTGCTTGATGTAATGATCCTGAATCTTTTGATATGAATAGAGGTCTGTTTTGATGATAAAAAAAAATTACGTCTTGCATGATATCATGCATTGACTAACTAGAAACATAATTATATACTTCAAATATTACATTCTAAAAAGTACGTAGTACGAAGTATTAAATAGCGAAACACCTTTTGTTACCTATCTCCAAAACATAAAGTGGTGTAAGTTAGGAAGACGAATAAAAAACATTACAATGTGCATGCCAAATTTGACTTTATTAGTTAACTAAAGTAAAATATATGCATGTGTAATGCTCAGTCAAATATCAATTTAAGATAAAAAAGAATTGTCTTGAATAGTAGTAAAAAATATTTGTAAATTCTAAAATAAGTTTTTCATATTTTTATTCTGTAAATATAAGTAATTAATTTTATGTTTTGGCATTACAAAACTTTGAGTATGACAATATTTTCCAAATTTATCAGTAATTACTACTATTTAGAAAATAAAAATATGACTTTAGTCATAAACAATATCTCATTTAAGATGTATAGCTAAATAACAGGTAACAGTATAATAGTTCCGATCCATGCATTCAACGCGTTCCGACTAGATCCTCCTCTGCACAAAGGGTCCTTATCCCATTTTCACTTAGGGAAAATGGAAACTAATAATCCAACCTTTTAGCAGTCTTCTTACAATAGTCCCACCTTTTGATTATTCATGAATAATCCAACCTTTGCACCTCATCTTCATTCACTGGTCCCTGACCGGTTGATGACCTGCTATTCCAAGTTATTTTCTTATCTTTGCAAAATATTATCTTTGTGAAAGGTGAGATTTATGGTATAATGGTTTGCAAAGATAAGAAAATAACTTGGAATAGTAGGTCATCAACCGGTCAGGGACCAGTGAATGAAGATGGGGTGTAAAGGTTGGATTATTCATGAATAGTCAAAAGGTGGGACTATTGTAAGAAGACCGCTAAAAGGTTGGATTATTAATTTCCATTTTCCCTTTCACTTATTGTTTTTTGAGAAAAGGGGCAAATAAGCCACACACTAACAAAAAAGGTCAAATAAGTTTATAAGTCCTTATATAGGAGGCTCTGTCCGGCCGTCGCCATTTGGGGCAGTTCCTGGTGGAATTTTTTGACTTTTAAGCAATTTGTTTCCAGCTACATACTTTAGCATGTGTCAATACTTGGGTTTCATATTACTTTTATAACTTGTTGCTATTACAACTGGAGTTCAAGCCGAATGCGCTTGATGATAACAATTTCTGGAGAGATGAATGAACTTATATTTAGGTGCAGAATCACATTCCTATCTTGTGGTTTACTCACATCATATGTTATTTTAATAGTTCACGTATATAATATTGGACATTTAGTCTAACGCGCGTGCAAAAAAACTAGATATACGTTTGATTATCGGCCCAAAAATAATTCTCAGCCCAGCCAAAGTCTAATCCAAAGTGTCCAGCTATTCCACTAATCCACTCACCTGCGGCCTCCTGAAGTCCTTATGCGAAGATTGAAGAACGGAGGTCGAAGAGGAGCCTGGCAGCCTGCGACGAAACGACGAAGACTGAAGCGCCGTGAACTGCAACACCCACCATCCGCGGCGCCGGAAGCCGTCTCCCACTCGGCCGTCCTTTCTCTCCGGCTCTCCGCTCTGCCAGTAGCTCCTGAGCTCCAGCCTCTACGTGACCAGGTATACTCTAGCTCTGAATTTCTAATACTCTTTTAGACTTTTATTAATTGAATTTTTCAGGGTTATTGTGTATTGTTATTTTTAGGGTTATAGAATCGATTTGATTATTAATTGAATTTCTCAGTTCATAACAAAATAGTGTTTATTCATTATAAATTTGTAATGGTTAAAGATATAATTAAAGATTAGAGAACAATTTATTTATTATACAATTGAAGAACATAGATTGATTTATTTAATGTGTGAACATGTAAGAGAATTAAAATTTTCAATTGAATTTTGAAATTGAGAATACTTATTAGTTATATATACAACTATTGTTTTTTCTTATTAGTTTTATAATTTTATAGAAGTATTTTAATTCATACCAATATTCAAAATGTTTTTTTATAGTGAATAATGATTAATGAACATATTACCAAGAGAGAAAAGAAGTTGATTTCGTCATTCTTATGGATTAATGAACACATTTTTATCTCTTAATGAACATAGAAAGAGATAAAAAATGTTGTTTGCCTTATGGATTCCCTTTGGAAATTGGAATTGGAATTGATGGTGGTGGTTCCGGAGGGGGAAGCATCACCTGAACTGTTTCTTCCCGTTGCATCGGCACCTTGTCCTCAACGCCATCGTTCGATTCATCTTCCATCTTCATCCTTCCATACACTTGAGCCAACATCTCTATGGGGGTGTTTGGATCTGATTCTTAGATCTTCTTCTGCTCCTTCAGGGAGCAGAATCAGAAGTTAGAGTGTTTGGGTGAAAGTGCAGAAGTACTTTTGAAAATTGATTCTGATTCTGAAAGCAGAAGCAGAATCAGTTCCAAACACCCCCTATGTCTTCCTGATTGAGATTGCCTTTCTTCTAATCGCCTCTGGGATTTATTCAACCTTTTGATGATTCACTGTATTGTCTGCACATTAATTCCTCTTGCCGCCCTGTGTCTTCAAACTGCCGGACTGAGTGGATAACTCCGCCGCCGGGGGAAGCTGCGCAAAACTCTAGGAGGACCTAGGGTCCGTCTGCGATATCTAACGGATTGACTTGTTTTTGCAAGTGAACTATAAGACAACTAATTAACGGAAACAGTCTCTCTGTGCTTTAGTACAGGGGTAAGACTGTGTACTTCCGACCCCCTTACCCCACTGTAGGTGGGAGCCTTTGCGGCACTGGGGTAATGATGATGATGATGATGCTGAATAAGATTAAGAATATAAATGAAATAATTTGTTCTATTTAAGGAAAACCAAATACTCCATACAAGAATGTACTAAGAATGCTCTATTTTTGGAAGAGTCACGGTCCTATTTTATTTTGGGAAGAATATTCTAAGAGACTGTTTGGTAACACTATTTTTCGGCCTATCAGACTTCTCAGCCAACTTTTTCACCAAACACGTAATTTTTGTTTCCGCGCGCTGAATTGTGTACTAATAAGAAAAAGTAAGATTGAAGTTACCTTTCTGGTTGTATTGGCTGAAATTACTTTTCTGGCTATATTGGCTAAAGTTACTATAGATGACCACCTTAGCTATTTTGACATATATTTTTTCTTTATTTTTTAAATAAAATACATTTTAAAAATACTTGTTTAGCAGAATCAGCCAATGCAGCCACTTTAGCCGGAAATTCATAAATTTCAGTAGAATCCGCCTATTCAGCCTATTCTGTCTCCTGCTTGTACCTCATCTACTCTGCTAACGCCGGATTCGCCGATGGCGCTAAATTGCAAGTTTGGTCCCTCTCGTTCAGTCGGACTATCTTCACTGAGCCGCTCAGCTGCAGCCCTTAAAACCAAACTCCGTCATTTCCTTCAGCCGGTGCCTGCCAGGTTTGATTTATCTTTTCTTTTATTAACTTCTGTAATTCTAGGTCATCCTAAATGTCTTCTGCCTTGTTTTCATTTCTTCTACTTGTTTGTTTTTCAGTGTACTTCCGTTCATCCCAATTTCATTTCGTGATTACAATGATCTGAGGGTTTGGTTATTTACATAGCCATAGTTATACTCTGTATGTGTTTTATAAATTATAACATCATATTTGCTGTTCTCAAATTCTGTGTGTACCACATATCTCTCAGTTGTACGCAATTCGGTGATAGTTTACCCTTTCACAGCCGATTGCAACCATCACTATTTTCTCTGTTGTTCATGCTCAATTAGAGTCTCCTTTGTATGTTCCCTTGCTCATTTATGTGTTAGTTTTGCCTGATTGGGAACATCACTATTATAAGATTGTTTGACCATTTTTTTTGTGGGTATTATCTTACATCAACAATATTCAAAAGAACTCTCTGTGTACCGAATTTGAATTTCAATTAGCTCCATTACATTTTAAATTAGACAAATGATAATATTTTGCAAGTAAGGGCGACTACTAGCTAATAATGGTTGCATAGTAGCAGTAGGGGAACGAGACAGTAGCACATGCCACTAGTGGTGGCACTGCAATGATGCCACCGTCGATTGTAACACTTGACAACAACTTCGACCATAGGTGCAGCCAGTAGTAGTCACTGTCAGAGGTGGTGTTGGTGGATGGCAACATAAGCTGCTACCATTATTTGTTTAGAAAATTTGAAGATACGGTTTTTGTTTGTATGTTTGGTCAGCTAATGCAATGTAATGCTTCCTTTTTAAGTTCTAATAATGCTTTCTTTATTCAATTTTTCCCTTTATTGGATCTTTCAATATCCAAGTTAATTTGATTGTTTTTTGCTTTCTTTGATTGTTTTTTGTTTAAAATTCAACTTGATGCCTTCCAAATTTCTGATTAGTGTTTCCATATAACTGAGATGCAGAGATGGAGTATTGATAAACATTGACGTTAATGGCTAGCTCTGTGGTTTGTGGAAGTATGGAAAGTCAACTGGTTAAAACATTGAGTGTTATAGTTCTGAAGCGTCACTGGAATGTTCTCTTGAAACCCAAGGTTAGTTTTGCAGTAACTTCAACAATTATTAACCTAACACTACAAACACTGTCTCCTTGTTGGTTTTGGCTATCTTGGTCATTCTTCAAATGGGTGGAAACAAACATCCCCAATTACAGCCACTCTTTACAATCTTCTTGGAGCATGATTTGTATACTCACAAAACATAAGCATTTTAAGAGCGCAAAAGAAATGCTTCACCAAATAGCACCAAAAGATTTCCTGTCATCGCCTCCCGTTCTCAATTCCCTCGTGAGTGATTTAGATGGCTGTGACGTGAACTCACAAGTGATGAGTTGGTTGGTGATATTTTATGCAAAAAATTCAAAAACCACTTGGGACGCAATCCAGGTGTTTGAGCATATGAGAGTTTCTAGAATCCTGCCGGATATGCATGCTTGTACTGTGCTCTTAAATTCATTGGTGAAAGAGGGGTTGACCGACACAATGTGGAAGACACACAAAAAGATAATAAAACTTGGGGTTGTACCAAACATACACATATATAATGTATTGGTTCATGCCTGTTGTAAATCAAGGAATGTGGAGAAAGCAGATGAACTTTTGAGAGAAATGGAATTTAACGGTATATTTCCCGATCTATACACATTCAACACATTGATATCGATGTACTGCCGGAGAGGCATGCATTATGAGGCTTTATCAGTGCAAGAAAGAATGAAAAGCGTAGGAGTGGGGCCTGATATCATAACTTACAACTCTCTTATGCACAGTTACTGTAGGGAAGGTAGGATGAGAGAGGCCATAAGAATGTTTGAAGAAATTAAAGGAATTATTTCTCCAAACGAGGTGACATTTACTATAATGATTGATGGCCATTGTAGAAGTGGTGATATAGATGAAGCTTTAAGGTTATGCAGTGAAATGGAAGAAAAAGGTTTGTTTCCAGTGGTTGCCACTTACAACTCAATACTCCGGAAGCTTTGTGAAGAAGGACGGATGAAGGAGTCAATGAAGCTATTAAGTGACATGGGTGAGAAGAAAATCAAACCCGATAACATCACTTGTAACACATTGATCAATGGCTACTGCAAAGTTGGGGATATTCAATCAGCTATGAAAGTGAAGAAAATGATGGTGGAAAGTGGATTGAGACCAGATTCTTTCACATATAAAGCATTAATTCATGGGTTTTGTAAAGCAAGAGATCCAGAGAGAGCCAAAGAATTGATTTTTAGTATGATTCTTTCAGGATTCTCTCCGGGTTACTGTTCATATTCATGGCTTGTGGATGCTTATATCCTTCTCCAAAGCCACGATGAAGAAAAAGAAGCATTAATCATAAAATTGGCAGATGAGTTTTCACAGAGAGGTTTCTGTGTTGACATCTCATTTTACAGAGCTGTTATCAGGAGGTTGTGTAAGAGAGGGATGGTGGACTGTGCAGCAAGGGTATTTGGTGAGGTGATGAAAAAGAGAGGGATATTGGGAGATAGTGTAGTTTTAACTAGTCTTGCCCATGCATACTTTAGAGAAGGAAATAGGAAAGCTGCATATGGTTTGTTGGATGAGATGTACAGAAGAAGGTTGATGGTAACACTTGCACTATACAAAAGCTTGAATGCTTCTTACAAGGATAATGATGATAATGGCTCTCTAGATGCATTCTGGAATGATTTGGGACAGAGAGGTCTGATTTCAAGAAGTGTTCATGATAGCATCCAACTACAATTGCATTCTTAGATGATACTATTATGTTGGATGAGGATTGAGTGCACAGATTTTGAGGACAGTACTTCTTCAATTCCAAGAGATGTGGTAAGTAATGACCAAATTGTGTATTATCGTTACATTTGTGAAGTGTCCTTTATTATTTCACCACTTGAATTCAAAAAGTATGGCATGCCTAGCCAAGAGAGTTCCCATTTCTCCAACCAAGTGTTCCATTCTGGGTGCTAGACTCTCCTAAAGTGTAGATTTTTTCTCTTTTAGACCCACCTACTTTAACTTAGATACAGTGTTGGGGTTATTCTATTTTTCTGTTTGTTAATTCTTATTACTTTTATAAGCAGATCATACGAGACGACAAGACCACATCAGACGGAAAATGTTTATACTAGATTACATTGATTCAAACCATATCATACTGAAAGATTCAGATCGGATCAGATGCTATATTTCAGGCAAGACAATTAATCAGGATTTAAAAACATTCACATAAGCCGAGACTCAAAGGTTTAGACCAAATCAAATCAAACTAGATCAGAATCATTAAGACTAAACTAGATTTCAAAAAAATTCACCCGCACGGGTAGCTGAGTTGGTTCAGTGGTGGGAAATTTGCAACAATGACCAAGGATTGAAACCCGCAGCGGCTGTGTGGAGGTTACAGCTCCTGTGTGTTGGGCTAGACCTCTGGTGTGTATAAGGCCTACCATCATCGGGCCGACTGAGTCACCGTGACTATAGTTCAACTCGGCACAAAAAATTCACCTGCTGAGTCACCTTTTGGAACAATTTGGAACAACAAAAGATTTTAAAAAATTCAGAACATACCACCAGACTATAGTTCAACTCGGCACTAGATCCCAGGCTGCTTCATACATAGCACCTAATGCTTTTTACAACACTGGTGCTCTTTGTAGGTATATATGTTTAATATGTTTAACGAGTTAAGCACTCACATGCTTCTCCATGGCGTTCTTGTCAAATGGTGGAAATGATAGTTACATTTGGGTTTCCCAGGTGACATTGCCTCCACCACCTATACCAGATTTTTCACCACCAGCGCTGACATTGCCCCTACCGCTTGACGGCCTCATAGGGCTTCCACGGTGATTTCTACGGGGGCTACTAGCTGTGCCAGGAGGGGGTGGTGGTGCGGGTCCCGAGTTCCAAGTATTACCATCTGTTCTGACATAATAAGATATCACTCAATATTTATTCACAGAAATAACAAATAAAAAATAACTATTATTACTGTAATACAATCTGAAACACGCACTGTAATCTCTGTATGATTTTTAACTGCTCAGGAATCCATCCCGTGAAACGGTTGTTCTCAACATTCCTTGAATAAAAAAAAAAGTACAAGTTAATAAGTCCCACTACGGTGTTTCAACAGTTCTTTTGAATTTTTGCTTTGGGGTGGGGGAAATAACTCACAGATTCTCGAGAGGCAGATTTGCAAGGACATTGATGGTCCCTGTGAACTGGTTGTCCTGCAAATACCTACAAGTTGGGAATGTGCCAATGGGTTGAGGATTTTTTTAGAGGTCAGGTAATAGTAAAATTCCATAAAAAAATGTATGCACTTACATGTTGCTCATACTTGTAAGCGAAGTAAAAGTTTGAGGAAGATCACCCGTCATTGAATTTAAGGAGAAATCTCTAAAACAAACACAAATTGATAGTTGAGGCTTTCTGATATCCTTCTCATGTGAGTTTTATGAATTTTTGGGTTCTGTCCTGTTTAGTTCAAATGAAGCTGGAAACAAAATAAATACAGCAATACAAGAACCCAGATGAGGCTATTAGTCTTACAATGTTGATAGGGAAGAAAGAGATCCAAACATATCATTCAATTGGCCCTGAATATTATTGTTACTCAGATTTCTGCATTTTGATAGAAGCATAAAATTGAGTTACAAAAGCTCAAGTCCACATAAAAGCTCCCAATCCAAGTGGAATACTTTTTTTTATATTGTCGGTGCAGTTGACTTACAAATATTGAAGAGGAGACATCTGGGAAATGGAGAAAGTGAGTTGACCGCCAAATCCATTACCAGCAAGGTTTCTGCATTGTAAAAAAGATTGTTACGCAGTTGCAGTACTGAGGAGGGCTTGATCTATATGCAGAAATGAAACTTACAGTTGCTGTGCATTTGGAGGAAGCTGATAAGGTAGCTGGTTTCCCAGATTGTTGTTGCTCATATCACTGAGAAGTCGCACAAACTATCATTTCCACCAGTATTGTTACATTTGGGTTTCCCAGGTTGCTAGCTCTTTCACAGATTCAACTTCATTTTGTGTTGAATTTGCAGTAAAGGTTTCAACTCTATTTGTTATGGTATATGTATTTGTAATGTTCAATGATTAGGTTTAGTGATCAGATCTATAATTTTATGTACAATGCGCCAACGTGTAACTGTGTAAGCTACTAAGCTTTGATTACTTAGAAGTTAGAATGCTATGGTTGAATAGAGTTCGTGGTGGATATCTAATCTCTTGTTTGTTAATTTGTGCATTTCTACTTCATTGGTGTTTTTGTTTATGCATGCATGTTTTATCTGCTAGGGCAATTTGATGTTTTTTTATCATATGTTTTTTTTTTTTTGGATGAAATGTAAATTTGTATTAACACCCAAACAAAACTATACATCACATGTCCTAGATCTCCTAAAAACCTCCCCCACATATGGTTTAAAAGCATGTGCCGTTGCTATTCGAGTATTCGTGTGATAATTTAGCAGTAGAAAATGGCACAATGCCTCACGGTCCTCACGTGGAATTGGATTACTGACGTAAACATATTTCTTTCTTCGGGTTATATATACACGAAAAATCCTACTTCCTACCGGAAAATGGATGCTAAAAGTTTTACCAAAATCTATTCGAAAAAAATTTCCAATAATACTAGTTATGACTCACAAACCCATAGTAATACACTAGTACACAATCATTTTTGGCATACTGCTTTGTGTATGGTGATTACAAATTAAGTTATTTATTATAGCCTAAGATATCAAACTATCGAATAAAGTTTATTTTAAAATAGAATCACTTATTTGTAGTTAAAAAGTGTCTGTTAGTCACTCATTATATCTTAGAAAGGTTAGTACTCCTTATAATCTAAAAGGATTGACAAAGTAGGTAGCATTATTTAAATTTATTTCTCATGATGAGTCCATGCTTTCCAATGTTAAAAACATTTAGAATTGATATAGTAATCCATTTTTATCTGTTTTATACTTCGTAAGTTAACTTTTTAGCAACCTCGAATTTTTTTTATTTCACACACTAAATTGTGTAATAATAAAAACAAATAATATTAGAGTATTTTTTCTGATTGAATTGAATAAAATTATAATAGAAGATCATTTTAGTTATTTCTCATACATTTTTTGCTTTAATTTATAAATAAAATGTATTTTGAATGTAATTTTTTATAATTCAGCAGATTGAGCTAATTTAGCTGATTCAGTTACCATTTCATTCATGGGAAATTCTAATGACAGCCCTCCTTTTGCTATACAAAGCCACCTTTTTCATAGTATTAGTTTTCTGAAAGGATCTCCTACTTCCTTATCCCTCCCTTAATTGATCTCTCGGTTCTCTCCCTGTAAACTCCGTAGACAGATCCCGCTAGGTTGCTAAATTAACTACAACTCTTTCCCCTACTCCAAACCGTACTTCAATCTTCTTCTTCTTCTTCTTAGTTTATGAACTGAAATTTGACTTCCAATTCCATCAATTCAAGGGGAAATAGCATGTCATCATCATCTTCATCATTTCCCTCTCCTCCTTGTTCATAACCTGCGATGCATGTCGTCCTTCCTCCGCATCCTCCGTCCCCGCCTCCGCACACCCAAAACTGGCTTCTTCCTCCACCACATCCTCTTTCTCCTCCGCAGCTTTCTGGGCTCTATTAAAATCTGACCACGATAAAGATGCCGCCGGCAGGAAATTCACTTGGCCATGGCAACAACGGCTTCAAGTTCTGGTTCCTTTGACAATTCCGGCGGCCCTCCACCGCTCCCGGAAGATGGCTTCACTGAAGATGCTGATTGCATCAATGTAAGTATGTAACTGATACTTTGGAGTACATGGACGATTTCATAAATAGAGACTACAACCTATGGGATATGAACAACTCTATTTTTCAGAGCTCCGAACTTTTTCAAAAAGTCAAAGGATAAGTTTGTAAATTTAATTAATTTGGGCTGTGTTTTGAAAAAAAGCGGGTTGTATTTAGAATAATTTCATCAATCTTTTTTTTGGAAGGCAAATTTTATGGACCCTCAAGGTACACATGATCCAATTAGAATAATACAAATGAATAATTTAAATACACACAATTGATGAAGTAATGATTTGAGACAATCAAATGTATCATATGTATCGTATCCTCATTATTTCATAACTAAATAATCATCATGGAACATTCTCAGAATAAGAATAAAAACGCTTGAGTATTTCAAAATAGAGTTGTATTTCCTAACTACGGTTAAACTTGAAACATACTGTCATGTTCAAAATCTGGTGTTGTGAAAACTTGACAGTAATTACTTATATTAAAAAAATAAAATTATGACAATCTTACCTAGGGCAATTGACGTGCTCGACTCATTAAAAATATCAAATTATACTTTTTAACCAAATGTCATATTGTTTTTCCATAACACAAATTAACGAGTTTTGTTTTAAAAGTTTTTTTTTTATCAAATAAAAAAGGAGTCATCTTTGATCAAATGAGTATAATTCATAGAAATTTGTCAAAACAGAGTAACAAAGAAATTCCACACAACGAGTGGAAATTGACATGACATGAGTCAAACGAGTAACTATCTACACTCGTAACTACTAGCGGTAATTAGTAGCGGTAATTATCTACACTCAAACACGAATGACACCAGACATTAGAGGATGCAAGTGTTAATTTGGAATTTGGAATCAACCTTTAACTCGCGCAATATGGGAGTTTCAATAATATTCTCTCCAAATGTAGTCACTATAGATCAGGTACAATTACTAAATCCAGATGAGAAATCAATAGTCATCATAAATATAACATGTATAAGCCATTAAAAACTCTATAAATCATTAAATAAAAGCTGTATAAATCATTAAAACTCTATAAATCAATAAATAAAAACTTTAACTTTGTGACAGATCTTGGGTTCAAACTAGATCTATAGAAAGTTTTGCTTTCTACTATTCTCCTTACGTTCATAGAGTAACTCAGCTGCTGAATATTGAGAAAATGCTAATGAATATAATAAGTTCATGTGGTTGGAAATATAATCTAGCTAATAGCAGATGATGCAAGTCTTGCTAGATTCACTCTTTGAAGCCTATACTAACAATAGATCTGTAGAGGTAGTACAAACGAAAGCTATTTGTGATCAAATTCGGATTTACTTGTCTAAGGGATTTGGAGGCGAGCTATAGATAAGGGTCATGCTAGGCGCGATTCATCCTAAATTTCAATTGTTGTAGATTATTTGGATAAAAAAAATCGTAAACTTTGTTATAAAATTCAGGTTACTAGCTTAGTTCACTATGTAGTCTTGACTCTTGATTATGCCCTGCTTGGAAGGTAATTCTTAAATGCTAGAATTATAGGAGGATAAATACAACAAGCAGATTATTAAAAAAGGAGGTAAGAGTCAGATTGGTACTCAAAGTTGCATAAAAACAGTCAAATAAGTTTTTACTGCCCGGCCGTCTCCATTTAAGGCGGTTCCCGATGGAGTTTTTAATGAATTTTTTTGAGCATCGTATTCATTAAGTCTGGTTTACTCATACCAAATTTCAGCTAAAAATTCAATCGGGAAGACATTCAAATGAATTCTTGAAGATAACTGCGCAGTTATCTTCAAGAATTCATTTGAATGCCTTCCCGGTTGAATTTTTAGCTGAAATTTGATATGAGTAAACTAGACTTAATGAATAAGATGTTAAAATTTTTTTGTCAAAAAACTCCACCGGGAACCATCCCAAATGGTGACGTCCGGACAGAGCCTTCCTATATAAGAACTTATTTGACCTTTTTATGCAACTTCGAGTACCAATATAACTCTTACCTAAAAAAAGAATAAGAAAGTTGGCAACCCCAAAGTTTACAAAAAAAAAAAATCGCCGAGAGCATAGGCATGGCAATGGGTCGGGGCGGGTACTGCAACACCCAGACTCGCCCCGTGACTTGGCAGGGCGGGTCTGCCCCGCCCGTGACCTGCACGGGTCCAAACTTGTTGACCCATGACCCGCCCGATGCGGAGCGGGTCCGACTCGCCCCGCCGTAACCTAATTAGCCAGTAAGTATTTTTATTTGTGGGAAGTTGTTACCAATTGAATCTACATAAAGCTTATCTCTAAATAATAATTAAAAATTAATATATTAAATCAAATTCATGATACCTTAAAAATTTTCAAAAATTAAGGAAAAATTACTGAGACTTGAATAGTTAGTCTATTTAATTATACTAATAATTGAACATGTGTATTAAAGTGCTATATATAAAGAAGACATTGATAATCTGTTGTTCATCTCATTCTAATATATGTATTAATATATTATAAGATCAAATAATTTATTATTTACTGTATTCAGTATTCACACATATGTATGTTGAAGTATATTTGTAGTATAATTTAAAGAAAAGGTATGTATGCTTATGTATTGAGCGGGTCGGGTTGGGGCGGCACGAGTCAATACTAATACCCGGACCCGCCCCATTGTATAGGCGCGGCGGTGCGAACCCGCCCCATTTGGAAGACGGGGTGGGCCGGACCCGCCCCAAATGTCTCGGGCCAGGGCGGGTCATTGCGGGTCGGTTTTTTTTTGACATCCGGGGCAGCTGAAAAGGAATCCAAGTTGTCGGCAAATGCCCTATTGCCAATGGAAATTATCTTGCCAATGCAAATCTATCACGGACTCGTGGGCTTGTGGCGTATTATCTTGTACTAGTAATTGCGTATTCCCTATGCAAAACCACCATAACACTTGTAGCGAGTTCAGTTTTTCGTTATCATATTTTCATTACCGTTTGTGTTCCATTCGTTTTTATTGGTTAGTGTCTATTGATTCATTAAGAGCTCGTTTGGTTTGGTCACTTGGTGACTGATTTTTCAAATTATCTCGTTTATCAATCAACTTTTTAATTAAACACGTAACTTTTAATTGCCTAATAATAAAAAAATAAAATTGGAGTTACTTTTCTGATTGTATTGGCCGAAGTTACTGTGGATTATCATTTTAGCTAATTTTTCATATATTTTTTTCTTTATTTTATTAATTAAATATATTTTCAAAATAATTTTGTCATAAATCAGCGGAATCAACCAATACATTTACTTCAGGCAGAACTTCATAAATTTCAGCAGAATCAACCAATTCAGCCAATTTCAGTGTTACCAAAGGGGTTCTAAGTAGTGAAAATAAACTTAGCCCTGAATCGGTACATAAAATTGGTGAGTAGAATTTTGATCCACCAAAATCGTGGTTGTTATTTCTAAAATCTTGCTCTAGAAT